GCCGAATGGAGGGTGTAAGTGCTGCATCCAAATGTGCTCAAGTTTGCATATGTTGACAGCCCGATGTAGCAAGCTGCAGGCCATTGACTTCACCGGAATCCTGTTAGCGTTGGCCGGCACCACCAGTCTCATGCTCGGCTTGACCTGGGGCGGCGGCGAGTACCCCTGGAACTCTGCGGCTGTCCTCGCAACCTTGCTCGTTGGTCTAGCCGTCTGTGTTGCCTTTGTTCTATGGCAGTGGAAAGGGGCGAGCTACCCGCTCATGCCCGGTACGTCCCGTCGGCCCTTTTCTTCCATTCTAATCCTAGCAGACGGCTTACTCTGGTCCCTGTCGAGGGGTTTATAGTGGACATCTTCCGTTCTCGAATGACGGCAGGGGCATGTATCACCATGTTCATCAACGGCTGGAACTTCGTCGTGCAGGTCTACTACATCCCCACCTTCTACCAGCTCGTCTATAGTTACGGGGCCACCAAGGCCGGCGTCATGCTGCTGCCCATCACCCTCGTGCAAACCGCAAGCAGCACCCTCTCCGGGCTCATAGTTCACTGGGTGGGACGGTACCGTGAATGCATCCTTTTTGGCTGGGCTTGCTGGTCTGTCGGCTTGGCGCTCATGTCCACCTTGGATGAGACGTCAGGCTTGGGCAAGCAGATCGGATATTCCCTGCTTATTGGTATAGGGGTCGGAAACACGCTCCAGCCGTAAGTCTCTGGGTCTGCCCGGCTCTGTCCAGCCCCTTTTGGCTGATTTGGTGATTCTAGAGCCCTTATTGCCATCCAGGCAGGAGTGCCACGAAAGGACATGGCAGTTGTTACATCATTCCGCAAGTAAGTCCTCTAGTAACCTCTAACAGGAACATGGCCATTTTCTCATCTCATTGTCATAGCTTTGTCAGGAATTTAGGAGCCACATTTGGGCTTGCCATCTGTGGGACAATCTTGTAGGCCAGCCCATGACACTCGTGAAAATGTTTGGTTGTGCTAAGTGATATTCAAGGAACAACGTCGTCAGAGATTCGGTAGACAGCCTGAATTTGGAAGCCGAACCTCGCAATGATCTACTCCGTAATCCACAGCAATATCTATCGACCCTGTCCGATGTAGATGCCGAGCACATTGGCGCCGCTCTTGCGCCAGCCTACAGGCGGTCATTCAAAATCATCTTTCAACTTGGCGCGGGCCTCGCAGCTTTTGCTTTCTTTGTGGCTGTCTTTCTAATGCCACATATTGACTTGGCTCGTCCAGACGATGCCAAACTGAAGGAAGAAGGTCGCCAGCCACGCGTCAAGGAGAAATCCGGAGCATCCCCATGAACTAGGAGGAAGGGAACTGATCTGCAATTTTGTCATCAATAGATAGTTAACTTGGGCCCTGAACTCAGCAAGGTTCCTGGGTCCTGAAAGGATGATACCATCTACGCTAGATTAGATTGAACAAAGAGCCAAACTTAGCACTTTTAGAATGCATTGATCACTCCTGCCTTTTCAACTAGACTTGGCAATAAGCCTGTTGATCACACATCAGTTACTCCACACATGCACCTTGTTGTTCTTCGTAGTGAGCTGGACTACTTGCCGACGGTAACCATGATTGAGTCGCCTAGGTCGTAAAGCAGGAATGAGTTGTTATGCTTGATGCTCAGCGGGTAAGACTAATAATTAGTTGTCAGGAGTTGTCACCAATCCACATCGCGTATGCATCTCGTAAACCGAGCCGCAGATCCCTGACGCTAATTGGCATGCTGAATTTTCACGCAACAGACATTGGATGGCCCAGGATTTCTCGCCCAGGGGTTGCTCAGTGCAACCATCAAGGTGTCACCATCAAGGTCTTTCTCCAGGCCGTTTTGACGTACGGGGCACCATACTTGACCAAGCTACCCCTGATTTTGCATATGCAACCCTATGCAGCCTTGCCTACACTTACACCCCCTCCCCATGTACCTCACCCAACCCAGATGTACCTCGGAGACTCGGCGCAGGTACTTGGCATTGGGATCCTGAGCGCGTGGGGAATTTCTGCATCGGCAGTCGTCTCATCGATTATCAATCTGATTAAAATCAGGTTGAGAAACATCTCGCGTCCGCCTCTTAATCGCTCAGTAGCATTGAACCTCGGAGTTAAAGCTTCGGGAGGAACCATTGTGGATTAGGAGCTGTTCACCCAGGTTCATCTGCTGTGACGTTGTCTGTTGCCACATCTACATGACTGACCTGAAGGGGAAAAGAGAGCTTCGAAGCTTGGGTTGCGTGTAAAGCAAGGGGAGATGGAAATCATTACTGGGGACACTACCTAGTCGCCGATTCAGCTCCGAGAGAGAATTCGTAAATCCCAGTTCATGAGTTCCTAAGTCTTTGAGGTCTTCGTGATTAAGAGGCATGAGCTGCTGCGTTTCCCAATACTGCATCAGTCCGTGAACCGTATTCCCAAACATCTCCCAACATGCTTCATGCAACATCCCTAGCCATCTTGACCGCTTCATGGGTCGTCCCGTGCCTGGGAATTGCTGATCCTCAAAGGCCTCTACTAAAGGACTTTGACGCTCTAGGCGCTTGGTACAAGGACGTGGCATCCATCAATGCTACGACATCTCTTCAAGATGTCGAGAAAGCCAAGAATACAACCATTGCCATTGTTGGCGCCGGCATCACTGGCTTAGCCACTGCCCTGTTCCTAGATAGCGTCGGTGTCCGCAACTGGGAGATACTAGAGGCCAGTCATCAGGTTGGCGGACGCCTGCGGACGCTCTATGTTGGCGATACCCAGGAGTGGGCAGAGATGGGACCCATGCGGCTCCCATACCGGATCAAGTACAAGAGTGACAACGCTACACTCGAGTACTCGGACCATGCCATGACTTTCCAGTTGGCAGACTGGGTCAATGAGCTGAATCAAGGCACCGGCGAGGATCTAAAGGTCACCTTCATCCCTTGGATCCAACACTCGCCAAACGAGTTGCTTGGACTAGGCACTGGCAGGCATCCCGATGGCAGCATCCCTACACGAGCAGAGATTGCCGCAAACTCCAGCCTGGGCAAACCAGCTCCGTTGGATACAGAAGAGTACAAGTCCACCAAGGCAAAAATGAACGATCTCCTCCTCAATGAAGCGACCCTCAGACAGATCCAGAGAGATCCTTGGGGCGTTCATGGACGCGTCATGAAGCAGGGCCTGGACGACATAAGCCAGCAAAGCATGATGCGCAACTTTTGGAACGCGAGCGCCGAGGTGGTAGATGCCATACATGGCGCGACTGACTATGATGTCTTTTGGGACGAGATGCACCACAATTCAAACCTCGCCCAGGACGGTAGCAAGAGCACGCTTGGTGAGACAGAGTGGCGATGTGTCGACGGTGGCTTCAGCCGCCTCTCAACTGCCATTCTCCCTCATGTCCAAGACCGCCTGATTCTGAATCGCCAGGTCTGCAAAATTGAAGCCGTCAAAGACGAGCAAGGCAAAACCACGACGGGCACTAAGCTTTCCTGGGTCGATGTCGATGCCAACAGAACCCAGACGAAACCGCAGCCCCAACAGAGCAAGAACTACGACTACACCATGCTCACAGCCCCCTTTACCATGACGCGGCTGATGAGTCTTCCGCAGTTCTCGCCGACCCTCTCGCGGGCCATGGCTGAGCGCGGTCTCCGCTTCAAGGATGCCTGCAAGGTCGCGCTGCTCTTTAGCGAGCGCTTCTGGGAAAAGGGTGAGCGCCCCATCTTTGGCGGCTACTCGACGCCGCCTGATGCCGCCGTCGGTGCTCTCTACTACCCAGTCTACGGGCACAACGAGACGGGCCGCCCGGGCCTGATCATGCACTACCGCGGCGGTGACTGGAGCAGCCGCTTCGCAAGTCTCACCGAGGAGCAGCATGTGGGCATGGTCCTTGACGCCATCGCCTCGCTACATGGCGAGGAGGTTCGTGAGTTGTACATAGGCGAGTATGAGCGTTTCTGCTGGCTCGACGAGCCCTTCATCGCCACGGCATGGACACGTCCAGACGTGGCACAGCACGCTCTGTATATCCCGGCATATCATAAGACCGAGTCCAATGTCATCGTTCTTGGTGAGCACACGGCGCCTACCCACGCCTGGATCAGCTCCTCGCTCTACTCGGCCGTTCGTGGTACAGTGCAGCTCCTCCTCGAGATTGGGCTCATCGACGAGGCCAAGGAACTTAATCAGCGATGGATGGGTCGATGGGTTAAGACGGCGTAGATAGTTGGTTACGTATCAGACGTGTGAATGTGGTCATGAAGATGTATATCTCTTTGGCGTACCCCTTTGCCTATCAGAGTCTTAAACCAAGAGAAGTGACGGAATGAGGAGGCATTATTGACCAAGCCAGGACAGTGAATGAAAAGTCACAATAGGATTTTATCAAATGAGTCAATTAATGTGACCAAAATTATTAAAAAAAAAAAGAAATTGTAGCCTATCCATGTACCGGAAGTTTGCTATATCAAATTACTTTTATTTTTGTTTTCCCATAGCATCTATATTAGATCTTGTCTAAAAAAGAATTGGCTCGCCGCTCATGCTACCACCAACCTGCGGAATCTTCAAGATACCTTCACCCACCAGGTCCATCGCCAGCCGAGCGAGCAGTCCATCACAGCCCTTCGCAGCCAGAATACCCACTGCAACAGGCAGCTTCTCATCATGATTGGTCAGGTTACTGAATTTTGACACCTCGCCTACAGGATATATAAAGTCTGGGCAGCCCGAGAAGACAGACATGCGGGCTGCCGAGAAACCCGTGAACGGCGAGGGAGGAGCGATATCATACCGGTTCCTCGGGGCTTGCGTGCCTGTCTTGCCGGCATATAGAATGAGGGAAGAGGAGCATTGAAGAGGGTCATTCACTGAAGGCAGTATTTGACCGTTGAACCAGTTTGCAAACATGGTCTTGTTCTGTAATGCTTCATCCCATGAGTAGTTTGCAGCCCATGCCCAGCGCGCGAGTGGCGATGGGTTGACGAATGGCCGGCGGCCATCATGAAGGCTTGCGTAGTCGGCGAAGAACTGATTGGTCAAGTTGTCTTGGCCCTTGCCTGTAAGTACTGGGTAGGTGATGTTGAACGACTCGGTAAAGTTGAGGTTGGCATGAAGGTTCGTCTCACTTCTGGTCCAGGCACTGGCTACATCCAAGGTACTCACATTGCCGCCTAGGAACTTGGCCAGCGCCGTTGCAAAATCGTTGAGAAGCCTGCCTGCCTTGGTGCTGGAGTCTGGGTACGACACTGTCATGATGTTGACAGGGTACTTTGGCTGCAGGCTGGCCAAAGAGGTGTAATTGGACCCGTACATGACGGTCTGCAGCTTGTCCCATAGCGCGGGATCCCGAACAAGGAAGCCAGCGGTATCCAAGGGCTCGGAAAGGGGCATGACGTTGTCCAAGCTGACAAGACCATGCGAGGCTCTATTTCCAAAGACGCCATTGACGCCAGCAGGGCTTCGTATGCTGCCGCCCGTGTCTGTGCCCACGGCGGCGTCAAGCCAGTCGTACGATGCCACAGACGCACCGGCGCCGGAGCTCGACGAGGAGGGATCCTGGTAGCCGTCGCCGCGGGGGTTGAAGGGTGAGTGATAATCAACCCAATCAACGGTAGCAACCTCGCTCGTCGCGAACTGAGACAACTTTTGCGTGCCCACAATGACAGCCCCCGCCTCGATGAGCCTGGAGATGGCAACTGCAGTGACGTTGCTTGGCGGGTATAAATGATACCACGCCCTGTTACCGTTGGACCGCTTGACGCCCGCAAGCGAGAATATGTCTTTGACGGCGATGCGGACGCCAGCAAGTGGCCTCTCTTTTGACGGCTTGTAGTACAATCGCGAGGGCACCCCGATGGACAATGTGGCTGAGCTGGCAACCTTGGCCGACAAGACTTGAAAGGTGCCGTCATTGTTATCTAGCAATGCCTCAGTAAAGGTTCCGGCAAAATCGTCGTATAGCCGGTAGGCCTGGTGTAGATTGCTGGTTGTCTTATCTAAAAGGTACGGTCCCTCAGGCACTCTGGACTTCGTCGTATAGCTGGCCACTGTTGAAGTGCCTTGACCGGCGACTTCCACTTTTTGCGTGGTCAAGTTACTCAAGCTTTGTGTTTCGTTGAGTATTAGCTGTGAAAATCCGGGCTGGAATACATCATCGGTAGCGTTGCAGGATGTAAAGACCCCGGAGATGTCATCTGGCTGTGTTCCTAGAGGCAGAACGGAGACCGGAGCGAACCCAGAGACGGAGTCTATGTTGTCAAGTGCATGGGCCTCAAGGGCGATATTGCCTACGAAGTGAGGGCTTATGTAGTATGGAACATTATTCAAGAGTATAGTTGAGCCCGTTGAGGTGATTGAGGCCGCACAGACTGGCAAGAAAACGAGCGAGAAGAGACGCATCTTGTGCAAGCTCGCAGTAATAGAGTTGAACAATGCGGTTCTTGATTGAGCTACAGCTTTACATCCTTCATAAACAAGTTGCGCCTGCTGTTCGTTTTTGAGGCCACCAAAACCATTCCCATCTACGGTGAATACAAATGAAAGTGTCCGATCCCGGTGGATGAACCATGCCAATCCACAGAAAGATGAGGCGGATTAATGAGTCGCCCAGGGCAAGGTAGCTAGCTGCGTTAGACATTGAGACCCGACTAGAGATGACATGGGAGGCTACTTTATCAATCTCAGAGGTACATACGTTGCTTGAAACTGCTATAGCGACACCCCCTTGCCCCGTATGCCCATTAAGCCCCCTGCAGGTCTCGGTAATCAACTCGGAAGTCGGAAGAAACATGGATCATAGCTCGTTACGGGCTGGAATGACCCTGCCCCTGCAAATCCCTGGGTCCTGTAGGCCCCTCCTCCAGCCCATTTCCCCTCAACTTGTCCTCTCGCCACCGCCAATGAGGGTACATGTACGAGGTACTCTGGGACCCGTGTTCGAAAATGTCGGCAGCATGCTACGTTAGCCTCGGAGTTAGTCGCCCAAGCTAGAAGAGATGTGATGTGTATAGACAGCCAAACCTTTCCAAGGACAGGGAGAAATTTGGCTCCATGTCCACTCCCACCCGTGCAAACGAACAAGGACTGATCGTCATATGACGGGACATAATCAATCTAGGGGATCCAGTCAGTGTCGGTTTTCGCTTTGGGTTGGGGCGCTTAGTCTATGGATCAGGGGAAGCCTACCAGAAACGAATTGTCAAGGGTATCCGTGTACCAGCAGAATTTCGTGGAATTGAATGGTCTGTTGGCAAATTCAGGCAGGAAGATGGACACGAATTGGCGAATAGCTTCAGTGGCAGGCTCGGGGAGCGACTTGGACCGGGCAGATGGAAGTGGAATTGACCACTTGCCATCCTGTGTAAAAGCTGTCCCCTGAGGCGCGGGCACAAAATTCGTAAACTACTTAGATGCTGTGTTGAGCGTAATCCTACCTCTCGGTTGATGATAACGAGGGGAGCCACTCACCTTGATGCCTCGGTACCCAATCTTGATGAGCCCATCCTCAGTCCTAGGGAACACGTAGACGCTACCTGTGTCTTTCCCATTATGATCTCGAGGGGCGCTCTTCCACGTCAGTACGGGGAATCTATCCGGAGCATACTTGTTCCACAAATCAGTTTCCGTATCGTCAATCTTGAAGGTCGCTACACTGCCAGCCGAGGACTCGAGGTGGTATGATAGGTCTGGCAGAATCTGAGTTGAGAATGACCCGGCTAGTTGCACATCCTTAGCTAAATCGACGTTCCATTGTAATGGGGCAATCTTACCAGCAATGATGACAGTGTCGCTGTAGTGGACAATTCCATCGCCTGTCTTGATGCCCACAACCTTCCTCCCGTTTCTACCAGCATCACTCGACCCTCCCTCGATAGCCAATGATTGAAAGCTTCCAGCGTCAGCTCCAACCACAAAATTTACTCCCTCAGAAAGGGCCTTGCCCAGAAGGTAGGCGCAGGCTTCACTGCACTTAACAAAACCAGAAAGGGAATCGAGCACCGCTTCGAAGTGACAGCTAGCATCCTCGCCAGGGATGTTGAAATCCAATAGTTTGTTCTGCCAGCCACGGTCGGCAGCTCGCTGGCGGTCATCAGTATTGCTCTTCACAAACTGGGTGTCGCGAAGTCCATCTCTCTCCATGTTGGCCAGGGTTTCCTTCTCCAGCGCCCCTAGATGGGCAGATGGCTGGGCGCGGAGCATGCCACACCCAACAAACAATTCGCTGCCGCTGTCCTTGTTTATTTTCAGCCACTCCTCGCGACTCTCGAGTGCTAATCTTTGGTAGTGTATTTTGGCCCCATACGATGGTCGTAGCTTCGCACAAGGATGGTTAGACAGCGATTCATCGGCGCAGGATTGCAACCTACAATCTTGTTGTGATCAACCGACGCTATTTGGCCATTAGGGTGGTGTTCGGGGTCGTATTTCGACTGTATATAATCATGTTGGTCAAATACAGTGACGCTATGGCCTGGTCTTACAATGAGCTTATATTATCCATGAAGCAACTCATCCATCAACGATACCTTTAGATCGCAAAGCCAGAGAAATAGAAAGTCCAAATATTCCAGCTATCATAGTTGTCAGTTTTTGAGACATGTCGAGGAAGAGGTGGTGAAGTGTTGAGTACATACCGCCAACAACGATAACAGTGCGAGTTTGCGACATTGTAGGTCAATAAACAGATTTAAGGCAGGTTTAAGCCTTTAATGTGAGGTGAATGAGAAGCTCGGGCAATCAGATTCATGGCGTGCAAGACGTGGGCTAAAATACCTCTAGTAGTTGTTAGGTGACATAATAATATGTGGCGCCATGTTGCAAAAATAGCATGTACGGTCCCACTCAACTACAACATGATATATGTGTGATGGTCTATTGAATTTGTGCCATTATATTGGACATGGCTTATCCTCATGCTGGAAGTACTCTTCCAAATGGAAGAGTACAACTCATAGTCCTGTTTCAGGTCATCCCCTATTTATTCGATAGCAACATGGAAAGAAGGTACGGATGAAAGACACTAAGATCAGATTTCCAACTTGACCTTCAGTAATTCAGGTATTATTAGCTTGTCTAAACCGAATTACATCTTTGTTTGTTTCTATTATTCATGCGGGTTATCATTCAGGAATCATTTAACATCTACTGGCTCGCGAAGGCACACCTTTGTCAGGTTGTCTCAATAGAACAAGCGCCTAGTGCCTCAAGCTCCCAACTGCTTTAGTCCAAGGAACATGCTCTTGAAGTTCCAGGGAGTGAACTTTACTTCCATTGGTTACACTAAACATGGTAGCAAACCGGAAGCAGTCGCCTACTTTGATTCTCATAGTTCGTCCAAAATCCATTCCACACGACAAGGGTAAGCTAAAATGTTGCAGGAGCCGTAGATATCGTGCACACAGTTTCCGGCTGAACATTTACACTCAAAACGACTTCCGATAGTCCTTATAATGCCTTTATTTCGAAATGAAAGTTAATTGTAAACAATGAGTCCTAGATCAAGGTCTAGGAAGGACGTGCGCATCGCCGAGTATTCTAACGGCACGAGTAGGGTTTACAATTAATATCCAGCGCATTAAGATGGTGTTTGAAGTAACGAGCAGGTTAGTCAGGGTCTTCCTCCGAAACATACATCTAGGATGCGAGAGGAGCGGGTAATTTAGACAAGGATGCGTAGTGTTCCGGTAGAATTTTAAAGCAAGTGAATGTCACTCTCGTATTCATTGTGTTGAGATGTCGGGTCTGGCATCTTCTATTGTTTTTAACTTTATACTCGAACTCTCTCTCCCGTACTTGACCTGTATATGGTCATTTTTTGCCACGACGCTGCCGCATCGTTCAGGCTGAAATCACATGTGCTGTGCCACGTGAGGGTGCCTTTGCTTCATTCACCACCTCGGCTATACTTTTCCTTGTGATAAATGAAGGCGTAGCATTCTCCCCATTTCCCATTCCAAAGCACTGGATCCTCTAGCCTGGGCATCCTCAGCGTGGCTGGCAGCTGGAAGCAGCTGAGTGATGGTCGCTTTGTCCCCTCAGAGGGTGAGCACGGATGATGTGAGAACCAGTGGCTGGAGGCGATGTAATTTGTACCTGGACGGGCAGCTCTTGAGAAAAATGGCGACCATTGATCATGTATGAAACCGAGAGATGTTTCATAAACCCCTCCAGAATGAAACCCGCCTTTAAATCAGGGTTCGCTGTACCTTGAAGTATGGGAGCGAGCTCTATGCGAGATCTAAATCATCAGCGTCTTATCTGGGGCTACAGCGCGTCCTAGCATAATGTAGCGTCAACCGCTGTTCCATCTAACTTAAGGTAAGTATGAAGTGCAATGACGCCATGGCTCAAGGACAAAATTCTGTAGCCGAGGGAAGCTGTCCATCATACGCCGTACTCTCGAGAAACAGTATTCAAGGCAATAAGTTGATGATTATGTGTAGATTTCTGAAATTCTTTGTTTCCCTAGGCGAGACGAATCAAGAGCCTACAGGGAGATAGCAGGCCTGTACTCCGAATTCCGGGTGGGGTAAATCACAATCCCCCAACTTCACCGGTTTGTCATCATTCACCATCTTTGCATCATCACTGCGGACCGTCTCCGATAGGCCATCTATCCAGAGTAAGGGCCTTGCCGTTTCTTCCAGCTACCAGTCCATCAAGTAAGCATTCCAGGGAGTCAAAGGCATTGATTGGGCTTTGATCTCCCCCGCGCCATGCATCCCGATGACGGGTCGCGGCCGACCGGCATGCTCAGCCTCTCCGTCGAGCTTTTGGACCAGGTCTTCCGGTGCTTCGACCACTCTTCCGTTGACCGAGGCGGGATCGACCTGAATCTCATTCGTGAACAGTCGGTAGAAGATCGCCGGACCATCCAGAACCTGCGGCTAGTATGCCGTCTCTTCCACAATGTGGCATCGCCAATATTGTTCGCCGTGCTGAGAATCTCTCTCAACAAGCAATCTCTGGACCGTGCTCAATCTGTTGCACAACATCCCATCTTCGCAGCAAGTGTCAGGGGCATTCAAGTCTACTTGGAATACCGCCCTGCGTCGCTGGCCTCGGAGATGAGAGAGTATGTTGAGTTCCAGAAACGAGCGCTCGGTGACTACGTCAATTATCGGACGGCATCTGACGTTCGGAGTGGACACGTCCGGTCATCCGACGGGCGTTTTATCAAGGTTGATGGAGACCAAGAAAAAAGAGACCAAGAAGACAACGTCGACACTTGGTCGCCGGGAGATGAAACCAAGGCTTTCCTAAATTTTCGAGCCTTCATCGCGGCCTGCGACCGGTTCATCAAGCACCAGGGGAACGCTGCTAGATCCGCGAGGTTGTTTGCTGTCAACGAAGGGTTAGTTGATGAGTACGTACAGCTGTTACTGCGATGCTTTTCCGAATACTCGAAACGTTACGACGAGCAGATGGAGCTTATCATAGGCCCGTCCTTTGTCGAAACTGTTGCCCAGATAGTGTCCCGCTTGGGACGTCCCGTCACCCTGCAAGTGGATGATGGTGAACAATCCGACCAGAGACTGCCCGCACGCGGTCGTCTTGCTATATGCCTCGACGACGAAGCGCTGTTGCGTTTCCTGGTGGCGCCACACAAATGGTCAGATGCTGATAAGGCTGGAGGATCCAGGATGATTACCCCAGCGAGGGTCGTCCCTGACTTGTCTGTTGCTATCAGTAAAGCTGGAGGCGTGATCTCTCGATTTGAGCTCTCGTGTTTGCCCCACCCCCATCATTTTGACGCGGAATCCTCTGAAGACTCGGCCACAGGTGATCGTGACGCATGGGGTGATCTCCGGAAATCCTTTCGGGGGCTTAGGGTCCTTAGACTGAAGGGGATCGGACTAAAGGCTCTTAGACTCAAGGGGGTATCCTTTGTTCAACTTCTTGTCCAACGTCGACCACCGCTGGCGCGGGACAAGAGATACCTGGAGAGGTATTTGCAGATGATCCTATTTGGTCAATTTCTGGAAGAAGTGGTATTAGACTTCTCACTACTCACCGGGCTTACATATGAGAACGGGGCGATCATCTGGTGTCCTCTAGGGTCCATCCTCCCAACTTGCCGCCCACAAGCTGTTAAGATTACGTTGCGATGCATGTCCCTATCACCAATAGAATTGGAAGACTTCTTCCAATCATTGGGTCCAAAGACTGAAAGTCTCAGTTTACAGGGCATCCATCTGTTAGACGGAAGCTGGATACGCCCGCTGGCTATTTTGAAAGAGAGGGTAGCCCCAAGATGTATGCAGGGGACATTCTCTTTGGTCCTGAAAGACCTGAGCGGTGCTGAACTAGGGCCAATGAAGAAAATGACAACATCAGCTCCTCCTTTGAAGAGCTCCGAACGCGAGGACGCTGACCTACTGGAAGTAGTCGCTAGGTATGTGAGAGGTGACGGAGTAACAGAGAACCCCCTACTAGCCGAGGCAGAACATTCGGACTGAATCGAAGATTTGATGATTGATTAGGTATATGAAACTATGAAGGAACTATTAAAATGTGTATTCTGTAGTCAATAAACTTGTATACGGAAGTGCATCTGCCCAGCACACTCGGCTTCTCCAGGGTGACGAGTCAACCCAGGATTCTTTTGAACTCTGCATCCAAGCCCTGCCATACTTTGTCTATGGCCCCCTCATCCCGGTATTTGGCAAGGCCGTTGAATGAGTTTGAGCACACCTCAGTTCTCTCATCGACAATGTAGACGCCACTTCCCTGCAGCCCATCACTCCCCTTTGCCACCTCAAGCTGTCCCTCAAGGGGCACCCCAAGCGCGTCATCCCCATCTCTGGGGGGAAACTGCGCACTCACACACAGAAAAGTATGTCTCTCGCCCGTCTCCTCGGCACTGATCCAAGAATTTCGGTATCTCCACTGGAAGAGATACTTGAGCGGTCGCAACATCAGTCCAGATTCCTTCCTGATCAAGTTCGACCTCACCGGACCGGGGAAGCTATGCACGAACGACACCTCCGGTGCTTGTCTCGCCAGTCCTTCGAGGCCGAGCGAGGCCGAGCGTCATGGTGGCGGCGGCATGCTCTCGCCCGTGGGAGGGGTTGACCCTCCGAGCTGGAATATCATCAAGATAGATCTTTCCTTCCTTGCCACCTGCCAGCACGGACACGACTCGACGGAGAGATTGGCCTTTGCGGAGGAGAGGCAAGAGGTTCTGTGCCATCCGCAACCGTCCCATGATGGACACTGCTGTAACATGTGGGAGGCCCTTCTCAGTGGCTGGAGGACACGCGCGGTCAGCACTCATCTTATTCTACAGGTTTTCGTGCACATTGGCATGTGAAATCATGGCCACTTACTACCAAGTCTCAGCGCGCCCTGGCTCATGAGCAGAATATTGATGCTGTCTTCCTGCTGCTTGATTTTCTCGCAGGCCTGGTCCACATTCTTCATCGAGCTGAGGTCGGCTTTGACGAAAATGTACTCTCCTTCTGCATTCTTCTCCTTCAGCTGTTTCGCCAATAGGTCCGCTTGCTCCTGTGAGCGACCGAGAAAGTAAATCTTGGGTCGGACGGCATGCTCGGCGAAATGAAGAAGGGTGAAGCTTCCGATACCTGCTGTGGCTCCCGCAAAGACGGCGACGAGGTTAGGAAGGGCCACCTTCGAATTGATGCTCTTCACATCCTCGAGAGACACCATGGTCATTGGATATGTTCACTTTGATCTCTTGAACGAGAGAGGATAGATCGAACGATGAATTACATGGGATTATGGGGAACAGCGGTATGGCATCATTATAGCTGTCTCATATTTATACTTGTTTTTACACTCTCGCGGAGAGTTCCTTCTCGCCGACATCATCATACCCCAGCATCGTCTTTGTGTTAACCACAATAGGGGCCGGTTCTGGGATGTCCGCGTAGGCATTGCGGACAGGCTAAGCGGAGGGATTGCGGAGTTTCGACTCCCAGCGACCGATTCGGCTTGATCCATAGCCGACACGGAGGAGACGCCTGCCGACCTCCGACGAGCCAGCTGGCTGGGCTGAATTAAACTATTGTCTAGGCCGTATTTGCTCGTATGCTGGCAAAAGCGAAACTAGCCTCGGGTGCGTGTTTCCTAGCAACCCGTGGTTATCCTCGCACACCCAATATGACCTCGTGAGATCGCGCCCACACATCTACCAGCACCATGGCTACCACACGTATGCTAGGCTAAGAAAAATCTCGTATGAAACGAATATCGTGGAATCCTACCAATGTTCAGATGCGACTGCACGAAATGGTCACTTGTTAAGGAACTGAAGCGGATCAAATGTGGGAAGGAGACTCTGATTTGGATGCACACTATCAATCACAATATCACCAAGCCTTAAATAAGGAGTAGAAGAAAAGAAAAAAATCAGAACCTCACACTATCCCAGAATAAAATTTCTCGTACAAGCCATTAGCGCAAAACAGCTGACCCTCTGGGCCTCTGATTAAAGAGTAACCTTAGTGCCCTTGATCTCAACAGTACCGCTAAACGTGATCCGCGATGCCGTGCTGCTGCCCTGGCGCCCGTGGAACACAACATTCTTCCCGTTAGTGTCAATGTCGAAGCCTCCGGGGCCGATGGCCTTGTACTTCTCGTTGTTCTTGCTGCCCGTGGCGATGAGCACGCCCCCCCACTTGAACGGGCCCGTCACGGCGTCGGCATAGGCGTACTCGGTGTGGTACTTGCTGTTGGCGTAGCAGTGGGAGCTGTAGAAGAGGAAGAACTTGCCCTCCGTGGACTTGTACAGGGCCGGGTTCTCCGTGACGCCGTCGTCGTCGTACTTCTCGCCGCTGGCGAACTTCTTGGGCGCGTTGGCGTTGTTGTCGCGGTTGTCCCAGATGGTCGTGGGCTTGCCGGTCAGGGAGAGCCCGTCGCTCGCCATCTTCTGGACCTTGAGGGGCGTCGGCTTGTACTTGGAGCCGCCGGGCGCGGAGCTGCCCTTGCACGTCGTCGCGCCGCCGAGGCCGTTGCCGTCGACCTTCCACGTGAGCCAGCGGTCCTTGCCGTCGAAGAAGCCGGCGCCGTCGATGACCCCGCCGTTCTCGTGGTCGCAGACGATGGCCTTGTCGTATGGCACAAAGCCCCCGTCAGAGGTCTTCGAGGTGGCGGCCCCGATGCACCGCTTGCCGTCCTTGTGCACGGCGCTGTAGTACAGAACGTACGAGCCGTCCGCCTGTTGGGCTTGGTCAGTTCACGAGGGCCGGTAAGAGTCGCTCGGGGGTAATGTACATACAATCTTGACTACGTCAGGAGCCCAGAGACCCGCTGTCGTGGCCCACGAAGGCCGCTTCTTTAGTGCGTCGCCGACGTATGTGAAGTTGAAGCCGTCTTTGGCAGTGGCGTAGGGGATGTTGTGTCCGTTGCTTGTGCCATAGGCTTTCCAAGAGCCCTCGCCGTAGATGAGAGTGGGGTCGGCAAAGCTCTTTCCTTCCATCTTGCCGCGGATAGCGCGAGTAGAGAGTTTGGAATCGGTAAAGATTGGAGTGATGTTGGACAGAGATACCTCAACGGTGTCGGTGTTGGCCTCGGCGGTAGGAAGAGCAAAGCTTGCCCCCACAAGGAGCGAGCTGATGAAAAGGCCCTTCATGATAGAGATCGAAACAAATAGAAATATACTTAGAAGAAGAGAGATATCTGAAATCGAGAAAAGGAAAGAAAAGAGTGTCACCAACAAGGCTGAGGAGAACCAGGTTTACCAAAATCATTTCGAGGGGGTGGAAGCCCTTTATGCAGGTACGGGATGGTTAAGCATTGCAAAGGAATAGCTATAATTGGGATGGCGATTATTGCTAAGTTCCAAAATAGCTCACATAAAGTTCGGCAATGCCCTTAGTGGTATAATGTGGAAGCAATGTTTCGTTTAAAGTGTAGGAACCCTGCCAGATGGACTGGCATGAGTTCGGCAATGTCCCTGTTCGGAAAGCACTAAACCTGCTTTTGTAGTTGTCGCGTGCATTGCCCGATCCGGGGCAATGGGAAGGACTTTGGTGCTGGAGAGGGGCGATTAACGTAATATAAAATTAGCTGCTCGCTCTGTCAGCGTTGTGGAATAGGGATTTTTCTTGCACTTTGGAAAATGGCACACAGCAGACTACTGTGCTGTGAGAACCTACGATAATCTTGTGATATTGAGTGAACTCTGGGCAGTTTGTTCTGAAAAGAGCTGGAGAGGTGTTGGCTTCATATTATTCCTTTTAGCTATTTCTCTCCCTATGTCTGAACTAGAGCTCTATTCATATGATGAAACCAATTGAAAAGTTTGATCAACGCATCAGAATTCTATCCATAATATATGATCAATGAGGCTACTTGCTTTGAAGTCATAAGAATATACAATATCAGAAGAATCAGACTTCCTGCCTAGTTCACTCGTTCAAAGTGAACTCGTGACGACATAAACCCCAAGCCTGCCTACCTGAGAAGTAGGGGAGGTGCTTTGGCCAACTCTGCAACATGAGACCTAGCTATGACCTTCCCTAACGGGCGAGAACTATCCAATCTCAGACGCAGGAAACTACTCGGAGCTGCCCATGATATAGCTCGAACATTCCACTTAAATAATTCTATCAGCCTAGTCGGGTTCGAATAGTATTTTCAAATTCATTCTAGAACTGCAATCATCATCAACTCCAAAAAATTCAGATTCCTAATCTTTCCAATAACCAAACGCCCAAACGTGAAAACATTACTGGGGATTCTCGTGCTGACCGCTCCGAATACAATTGTAAGATACCTAGAACCACCAATCCCGTTGCTTCTGTAAAGCGGCAAAACAAAGTCATCGACCAGTTCCAAAAAAACGGAAAATTGCAATACGGCTTGAATCTGTGGTGCCGCGTCGAGCTAAATGGAAGATTCAATTAACGCGCTCCTCCATGCTGATAATAATAATCTCCTGGGAGTTCCATTGGCGGAGGAGCCCATCTTTGTTGCTGTGCTTGCTCGTTTGGACCAACAACCGACGCTGTATACTGCTGGTTAAACTGATTGTAATAATCCGGGCCTGTCGGATACTGCCGGGGTGTTGCTTGTTGGTTCGTTACCGGGGCTCGTGCATACATCGGGTGTGGTTGATGGTCTGCATATTGAGGCGGATACTGCGGTGGCTCGGGTATCATGGACATTCGTTGCTGTTCAGGACTCTGCGACACCGGGCGATTCTTCTGTGACGGATCATTGGGGTTGAGCGTCTTGAGACGGCCGTCCGGCGCCATCATCGCCTTCAACGCCCCAGAATCAAGCAGCTCGGCCTTCCGGATGATTCTGTCCACCATGTCCTTGGAAGCCGCTTTCGCCTGCGCCTTCACGAAGCTCACAATACTGATGTTGCACCGGATCTCGATGTCTTCGCGGAGATAGAGCCCATCCGCCGGGACATCGAGCGAATCGAACCCGAGCTCGCGATGCTCCGGCGCCTCCACACCAGGCTGGTTCCCGGCGATGCGATAGCGAACCCGCATGTCTATGCCGAACGGGGCGTAGATGTGCGTCTGCAGGCCCCACGGCATGTCGTGGAAGCAGCCGTTGAACGTGATCTCCTTGGCCCCGACCTTGCCGGTGCCGGGGATGACCTGGACCCGCTCGTGGATGGCGTACCAGGTGCTGTGCATCTCGTCCGCGGCCGCATTGTCGGGAGGGCTGATCTTGGTGTGGCCCAGCACCAGCGGATTGAGTGTGATGACTTCGGAGTGCGAATGCAGGATGTCGAGGGCCAGGCGCCGGGGGATGAAGCTCGGGATTGGCGTCACCACCGTGAAGACCTCCTTCTTCTTGAGTAGCTTGGACATTTTTGCTGCTCTCCGCAAGGTATTGATCTTAGGCCAGGTATGTGTGCGCGCTGTGAACCGCCGCGACCGGTCGATAGGTGGTAGAATCTGGGGGGAAGCAGAGGGTGTTGAATGATTGATGTATGATGGAGGGGAGGGAGATGACGACAAACGTCATTTATGGCTGATCATGTAAGACTAAGTAGAGCCCGTTGGCTTGGGCAGCGGGTATCGAAACCATTCTTGCAGGCCATCATTGCTATTTCCAGCCGCCTAAGTCGCCTGTGCTTACTGGCGCCTGCTGGCCGTCCAATCAGTATATTCACAGAGTCCAAGATGACGTTCTAGTGTCAATCGGCTGCTGCTCATCCGGCGCTTACATCTCTAACCTGAAACGGCTCGGTCGATCATCGCCTCACTGCTGCGGACGAGACACTGCCCCCAAATCCATCCCGCCGACGATAATACATATAATTAGACCGGATAGCTCTGCTCGCTATCAAGGCTGCGGACGAACTCAAAGACGTCCGCCGTTGTATAACTGGGGATTCGCTGGAAATATCGCCATTTCTTGGCCTCGCTCGTCTGGCCAGCCTTCAGGATCTGCCGCGAGAGCCAGACGAGGCCGGGAGAATTCCGTGCCACGCCCAGCCACTTGCGCTGGTCTTCTGGCATTTGCTTGATTTCAATGGCCCAGAGAAGATCCCAACGATCCAGCGCACGGAAGACAGCAGCGGAATGGCTGTCTGGAAACCTCGAGGCGTGAAGATTAAAAATGACTGGCATCAAAGCTATTCGAACGTTAGTAAACCTGGACCGAGGGGCGCCGTGGGAAGTATATCGCTTACCGCAGCTCATCGCGTGTAAGTGATACGGGCTGAGTTGGCTGCACATCAAGTGTTGAGGTTCGGCCCAGTCATCGCCCATCAATTCGGACATTTGGTCAACCAGACAATGGGAGTTCATCACGGTGTCTGCTTTCCGTTTGTGGAAATCTTCTTCTGTTTCAGCATCCCAAATTCTGGCGCTGCATGGTGACTGCCCACGCATTTCTGAGAGCAGCAGCAGGGGAGGATGGTTGGTGGACATTGTCGCCAGGCAGTCGATGTAGAACGTCCACGATGCCAGGCGGATCTTTAGCTCCTTTCGAATGAAGGATGGCCATGATTCATCATCCTCGTGCCCGATCTGGGGTAGTTGATGATCTCTTATGACCCTGATGAGCTTAGGTCTATACTTGCTTAGAAAAGTGCGTCTGGTCTCCTGATCTTTCACCCATGTACCGAGGCCGATCATCAATAATGCGGCTTGACAGTACTCTAGCAAATTATCGATACCGGAATCAGAATCTATTTGCTCTTGCAATTTGCTGAAAATATAAGGGCCGGAAATGGTGTGGATGGCTCTTGCTTGGACAGCTGGATCAGGTTCAACGCCAGGGGTGTGCGAATACGCCGCGCCCATGATCGCAACCGAGAGAAGCAAAGGCAGGGGAGCCTTAAGAATATCAAATGTTGGCCAATGGATAATAGGGAGCTGATAATGCCTCTTGCGCGAGAAAGCGACTACAAACCTTCGCACATTCTCACTCGTGAAGAGACTCTGAAAGGACTCGCGTTGGAATGAGCCACTGAATTTTGGTTTCCTCAAGGAATATATTTCCAATTCCTGACAGAGGAGGTCTAGACGGCCCTCGAGAGTATCGCCTGACATAAATGGCGCAGGTGATCCAGGGGCTCCAGGGGCTCCAGGATCAAAGCCATCGTACGCGTCATCCAGTGTCAAGTAAGTGTCCAAGAACGGGTCAATGTAGTTAGAGAGGAGAAGCGCAGGGTCAACGAAAGCCATGCGTTCTCCTGTGCTGCTCTCGGGCGACATTCTGGTGGAAGGGCCACCGACGCTGCTTTCTGGCTGCCGGGCAGCATCCCTCTCATTCTCGAACTCCGTCGTCGAATCAAGATTCCTGAGCAGGAAGGGCAGTCCGAGATCTGCGCCTCTTCCGGAAGCTGGCTTCTTGGAATCCACGGGCTCGGCCAGTGACTGACTATGAGATGGATCGCTGCAAAGCCAGCCGTATGCACAGTCCATGCTCCTTGAGTTACAGCGTGCACAAGGCTTCTTCCCATCACACTGGACTTTCACCCGGGAGCACTGGGTGCATGCCCGCAACTTCCGACCTCGTCTGGCCAGTGGCGGCAGGGGTTGATTTCCCTTCTGGGGGCAGGTTTTTGCATGCCTCCGGGCTCCATCTACTCTTCCAAACAACTTGTGGCAGAATGGACATTGATGCTGTCGGACTCCCAGCCTAGGACTCTGGCCAGCGCTGTCTGCGAAAGGTAGCTGGCAGACGGGGCATTCCGGAGTAGCAAGATGATTTGATGTAGATGAGACCATCCCTCCACTTGCATACAGCCTCCGAATTACTCAGCTGTATCGGTTATCGGCTGTACAGGTAGAGCGTGACCACAGACGTTTAGAGAGGAAGAGAATTGGGCATGAGTGAATTTCCCGAGGCTCGTTGTGCCAAAACGAAGTACGAAGTGGATCCCGGTGCCCCGGTGGTGGGTCAGACCGGTGGGATATTCCCGATGCCAGGTCCTCCTATAAGAAGAATCACTGCTCACTTTCCCGGCCCGTTCCATTGGCCAATTGCACTAGATCTCTGACTGCCAAAAACCCTTCGAGAATGGCTCTTGCTAGTCGATTGAAAAGTATGCCGAGTTGTACTGGATCCCACTACCATTGAGACCAAGCACTGACCCTTGATATCTAGCAAGCCTCAGGGCTCCTGCCCTTTGCCTTCGTGCTGCGGCTAGCAAACGAACTGTTGCCATAGCTCCTTCTTCGATATGTTTTCAACGCCAGTTTACCCAAACGTCCTCATCCTCTCGGCCTTCGCCGAACATGGCCCTCTCCACCGAGCAACGACCCACGAGTGTGATCGAGCATGTGCTGTAAGCCACTGCCATCCAGGATCAAGAAATAGAAGGATAGGAACTGACTGGTGCTAGGACAACGCTGGATCAGATCGTTGCCTGGGCTCGAAACGGCTCGATGTGGCCCTTGACTTTCGCTCTCGCCTGCTGTGGCATTGAAATGATGCACGTCTCCATGCCCCGCTACGACCAAGATCGACTCGGTATCATCTTTCGAGCGTCTCCCAGACAATCAGATGTCATGATCGTTGCCGGAACCGTGACAAACAAGATGGCGTCGGCTGTTCGACAGTGCTATGATCAGATGCCGGAACCCCGGTGGGTCATCAGCATGGGAACCTGTGCCAATGGAGGAGGATACTACCACTACAGCTACAGTGTCGTGAGGGGTGTTGATCGCATCTTGCCTGTGGATATCTACGTCCCGGGATGCCCCCCTACGGGAGAGGCCCTTCTGTACGGGGTTTTCCAGTTGCAGAGAAAGATTCGGAAGACAAAGGTCACCCGGATGTGGTACAGACGTTGACAAGAGCAAATGGATGTTGGTCCGTTATTTAAATAAAATGTACTAAGATTGCTATCAGATTGTGCTGAATGAATTTTCTTTATTGTGTTGAAATGTCGGGTCTCGCATCTTCCATTGTTGTTTAATTTTATACTCGAACTCTCTTCCGTGAGGAATGAATTTAGACAGAAGGACAGCTATAAAACTCTTAGTACTCCTAAAAAATAGAAGCTAGATATAAAAGCAAATCTGCTCATCCATACATAAGTCAGCATGCTCTATGATATTTAGGGTAGGTAGGGGAACATGGTATTTCGGCAATTGCCGGGAGTTATAAGATATCCGAGGGCGGGCCGCAGCTGGACCCATCAAGGTTATCCAGCCATCATATGCATCTCCTCCTTGTTATGGATTCTTCGTGTTGGTGGATAATATGGAAAGGCAACGAGCAGCACGTACCAATCACAAAAACACAGACGTCACTGAGGCCTGACTTCATTGGAGAAGACGGAGCTCGGATTTAACCAACTGATTAATCAGAGATTATGGAGACAACGCAACTTGACCAATGACAATATTCCGGGATGATCTAGAATTCTAGATCCCTGAAATACCCGTAGAAACTCGACTATATTGGGTCTAGTGTCATGCAAGCTGCTCACATCCAATCTAGACCTACTTTGGTGATGGCTTCATGCCTAAGTGTTAATCAAGGACGAGAAGACTGAGTTCAAACTGTATTTGATTGTTGGCTGGCTGATTTCGGAGTTAGGAGAACAAAAACCGGCAATTGAAATGCGTTCAATGGGCTTCCGAAATACATATATATATGGGTGCCAGTCTCACTCAACCCTTAGCAGAACCATCAGAACCATCTAATACCGGACACACACTATTCCTGCCAAGATGACTTTTCACCCGGACGCTCTTCCAAGCCTCTCAGGCAAGGTCTATATCGTCACCGGCGGCACCGCTGGCATGTAAGCAAATGACTTCAGATAACCCTTTCAGCCATCAAAAACTCACCAGCTCCCAGAGGCTACTACACTGTCGCTCGTCTCGCACAACGTGGCGCTCACGTATACCTATGCGCACGCTCCGAAGCCAAGGGCAAAAAGGCAATTGAAGGGATTCAAGCACTATATCCAAACTCTAACCTCAGCGTGCTGGTTATGGATCACGCGTCCCTGCCTACAGTAGTGGCTGCAGCCAATCTTTTCCTGACCAAGGAGACAGCGCTGCACGGCCTGGTGAACAACGCAGGCATTATGGCCACTCCTTTCGAACTCACGGAGCACGGCTACGAAGCTCACTGGCAGATCAACTATATCGCACACTGGCTGTTCACCTCGCATCTGCTTCCTCTCCTCCTCGAAACCTCCAAGGGCCTTCCTGCTGGTAGTGTACGCATCGTCAACCTGACATCCGGGGGTCATATGTCGGCCCCAAAACCCGGAATTGACTTTGAAGATACTACACTGGCAAAAGCAACCCCGATTACCCGATATGGCCAATCCAAGCTGGCCAACATCCTGCACGCCAAAACGCTGAACAAACGCTACGGGCCTGGGTCAAGCAGCGCCAAGAATGGAAAGGGGGAGATCTGGACCTCTTCAGTGCATCCTGGCATTGTACAGTCGGAGCTGGATGATCGGGCCCTCGAGATGCCCTGGTTTATGACCATCGCCTCCGGCGTCGCCCAAGCCATCGGGGCTAGATGGCCGACTGATAAAGGCGCGTGGACTCCTGTGTTTTGCGCCGCGAGCCCTGAGATGAGGGCAGATCAGAGCGGGGAGTACTTTGAGAGAATCGCCAAAACGGGAGGCATGATGCAGAGCGCGAAGTCAAAGGACATGGAGATGGCTGAGAAATTGGAACGTTGGACTGAGTCGGAGATGAAGAAGCAGGGATATGTCTAATATCTGTGCCTCTTGGTCACCAATTCATGCTTTCGGACCGTTTCTCCTTAATGTCAACTTATTCATTTCACATCATAATTGTTTCTCATTCCCCTAGTTAGCTCATTTATCATGTTCAAAGGATATCTTTTTCAATTTACAGTTCACAGTTGCTTGGTCATTCTGTCTTTTGCGTAGCAGGTATGTTCGAGGCCTAATTGTATTTTATATAGATAAATTTGAAAATAGCCTCTCGCCTCACCGAATAATCACAATATGATGAAACATATGAAGTGCTGTGTGAACTTTTAAAGAAGAATGAAAGGTGGATAAAGCTACGATTTTTCAACGGGAATTTTCGTAAAATGTCGCTTTTATACAGTCCCATTACGAGCAAGAAACATCGGCATGAATTCCAAGGATTGTCGTTTTCAAAGGATCAAAGGAGAGGGTGGCAGTGATATCATTACAGAGGGGGGCAAACCTTGGACGATAGCAAAAGGATGTGAGGCAATGTCCAGAAGGTCGAATTCCGTGACTGGCAGAGGTAGTACACTTCAAGGCATTGCCGATAATCAGCAGCCACTTTTTGGCTCTGCCTATTTTAAGACACAAGACCGAGATAATTCGGACAAAATGGCCATCGCCCGTGATTTATGCGCGTGGTTCCAAGTCGTCCAGAATTGTTCTTCACCCGCACAACACAATCCAGGCGCGAATCTAGCTGGAATAAGCGTAGGATCGCCAGTATAACGAGCTGATGCAGGCATAGATAATTCAAGAAATGAATCACCAACCGAATGCGGGCGTCCCCGTGACTCCTCTTGGGTAGACTCGCCAAATCGGTCGAGGCGTATAAGTGCAAATCCGAAAACTGTTGTCGGCAATGCCCGTAAAAAGTAAAGCTTGTTTCCCACGATGGAATTTCACTCTAAGCGACCCGAATGACATTCATAAAACGGTATTTATATAGGGGGCTGGGCAGAAATCACCTCGGCGTATGCCTGAACGGGAGAGAGAATCCCCACTTAGTGCTGAACAGTGCAGGCAATTGTTCTCTCTTTCCTTAATCAATCATAAATTAATCGGCTTAATGTGCCGGCAACCAGTTGCTGTACCCAGTTGAGAACTCAGCCAGTCGTTCCTCATGGCATGGCTCGGTCGACCTCATGCCCCGAACCACTGATTTAGTAGAATATATTCACTAACGACCATGAACTGCTAGAGGTTTCTGAGATAAAGATCAGTCAGATGAATCCAGCAAGCTAGACGGAACGATATGATCACAATTGTGGGATTGGTTCTTCTCAATTCATTCTGTTCGCCAATGGCCCATGGAGGTCTAGACCATTGATCTCTTTCATTCCGCCGCGGAAATTGTACCTGCATCCTTCGAGGTGTAGACAGGGTTAATATCGTGAGTGGCCAATGTCATGATAGGATCGAAATGGGCCAGCCCTTCATCGCAAGCAGAGGCATTTCTTGGCTGCAGCGTTATCAACTGGAAAATGGGGAATGTAGAGCTATTTTTGAACTTCTTCTTCGTCCAAGTTGGGGAGAGGCCGACGGATGATGATGGCAAGCAATGAGAAAGAAGTATAAAAAGGGCAGGAAACTGACCCTCAAAGGCTGACAGTCATTCCTCATCACACTTTCTTCTCACTTCTCAAGCTCCTAATACTTCTTTCTTCACGAAACCAAACCAAAATGGTCAAGATTGCTTTTTTTGTGGCGGCAGCCGCTCTTTGCTTCGAAACGACATCTGCCATCAAAGAGATTGGATTTGGTGCTTGCTTCGGCGACAGGATAGCTAATGGAAAATACTTTGCCATTTTCGACGGTAGCTCTCCTACCTGCTTCGCAGATGCAGGAACCAAAAAGAACATGAACCTGAACGGAAGTGGCGGTTTCTCATCTGGAAACAACGCTGGCTACATCACGTACACCTGGAACAAGCACACCTACACCTATCACTACAAGAAGAAGGAGATCCTCAACCTTGACCTCGGAAAGGTTAAAGAGCTGCACATCAATTAATCGAACTTGCTAGCGTACGCAAGAAAGAGCATCGACGATACTGGGGCTGCAATGGCCTAAACACGAAGGATGCCTGAAAGGAGGGATAATATGGAATGACAAAGAACTCAGTTCATCATTTTAGTTGATCGGGGGAGGTTTTCGGTTCAATACACGGCAAGCCCTTATCTGAATCCAAAGATCTTAAAGGACATTCTAGCATTTCCATTCTCTGTCACATGTGAATACGCTTGGCTCGTTGTAGAATACTCATCATAGTTCCGAATTATCATCATGTGGTTTATTGGAGACGAAGATGCATACCCATTGATTAGTTGGATTGACTCCGTAAGGTCTCGACAAACATTTATACAGTCCGGCGAGGTACATTGGAGAACTCAGCAAGAGTAGGCACTACTATCAATATTAGAATATTGTCCAACCTAACTTTCTAGGGATAACCACAGGTTTCCCGGGAATAACCCAAAGGCAGTGGGAATGATCTTTTGAACCATTTTTATTTTTACACAGCTATGCATTTATTCATTGTGTTGAGATGTCGGGTCTGGCATATTCTGTTATTGTTTTTAACTCTCTACTCGAACTCTCTCACGTATACAGCTATTCATTTTGTTAAGATGCGGGTCTGGCATCTTGTATTGCTGTTTTTAACTTTACACTCGAACTATCTCCCGTATATTCTTATACAGCAGACTTAAGAGCTTTGACAGTATTTTCTTATCTGTCATATAGAAACGAAACTAGAATCAAACAACAAGAGAAAAACAGATCTTCGGCGAACTCAACCCTCAACCACTACTGGCCAGCTGCTTGTCGAAATCTCTATTTTAACCACTTTATCAAAGCGTTTCTGGATCTCCCCAAGTTCTCTACAACAAGTTAACACAAGTTTGAATTCTCCGATACCCAGCTTTGCTATTTGAACGAGGTTTCCCACCACTTCAACGAAACCATCAAAATTCCCTCCCGCTTCCTTGTCTTCGTCGGAGAATTCAAGCGCGTTGATGAAACAAACTACCGCATGACGGCTTGGAGTGACCTCCACCAAGTAAAGAAAAAGTTCACAGAGCGCCTTTAGATCATCTCGAAGCCTAAGTAGTTTCCAAACTTCGCACTCACTGAAATCAAAGCTGGTTTCGCCGAGTAACCATGTTAAAAGTTGACAGGCCAAGCTCACCATCATGGTTTTTGGTGCGATAAGGCCTTCGTAGAGGAAATATATGGGAATCGTATTTTCAGTCCTTCGAGTAATTTTTGTGATGCGTGTGGAGAGAAGGCTGAGAACTTTCTTGATGTCTGGTAACATTGGTTTGCCTCCATGGATAAGTAAGAGGTCTGAAAGAGACCTGTCGAAGTATAGAAAATCAGTCAGTAGGAAATCCTTCAGTTTTTCCTTTGCCATCGCAATCTTAACAGCCTTCTTGTGCTCTTTTTTATGGGTGGAGCCCATATCAACACTGGTTGGGAGGTCTCCAATGTTGGTGTCAAACTTTAGTTTTCGCAAGAACCTCTTTGCCTGTCTCTCACTTTTTGCATTCCCTATTAAAACGTTAATTTATTATCATGGATGCTTTGATGGATGGTTGCTCGCCTCTTTTTGACGCACGAATGTTGTGTTGCAATTCCGTCATCTTGATGACCATGCGTGCAATATCTGTAAATAGTTTTACACATGCATACAACAGCAGAGTTTGGGTTGCACTTATATCTTCTAGTCGGGAAAAGAAGTCGTTTTTACATGAGAATTGCTTCAGCAAAGATCGGATCAATCCATTAGAGTCAGAGTTAGAAAGCCTTCCTATTCCAACACTTCTTCACAAAATAAAACAAGGCTGTTCTAGGTGGTCAAGGCCCAACAATTGTTTCCTTTTGGTTGTTTGGATTAATACAGCCTTTTTCTCTTTTCTAACGCACATCTACAAACAAAGAGTTCCACGCCGTGAGTAAATGCCTTTGTAAAAGGAAATTACATATCACAAATTCTTTGTTCGGCACTATGATCCTTATTTTGTACCGATATTTTGACGGCACGCCGGTCCTCGTTGGTCGTCATTTCCTTCAACCGTCAGCCTCGGGGTACAGCCGTGAGCTAGCCCAACCATTTCACCTCTTGCTGCATCTGCTCGATTGTTCTTCTTAATACGCCATATTCCGCTTGTATACAGATCACTGTTGCAAGGGGCCGGGTGGAGAGCCTTGGGTAATACTGTTAGAGAGCTCAATCGTTTGAAGCCCTTCTTAGCCTGTTTAGATATCTGGTACGAACAACGGGTCAATTTCCCCGCCTTTGTCCTCCTACACTTGCCTAAATACTCGTTACTTAAGGGAATAATATTCTTTTCAATTATTTCTGGGCTTAGCTTCGTACACCAATCCGACGAACCTGTAGCCCAAGATGTAGTCGATGAAAGCCCAACAAAGCCCTCCATACAAAATCATGCTGCCTAGAGTGGGTAGGGTTACGGGAATCTCCCAGAAATCAAACCCTCATGCGGTGGCGGCAAGGGAAGTCACCAAATCTGACAAGTTATTCATAATATACGGGAGGGATTTCGGGTATAAAGTTAAACAACAATAGAAGATGCTAGACCCGACATCTCAACACAATGAATGAGTTGTTCATATATAAATCTCTAAATCCGGGGCTTGTTGACAGAGAAGAAGCATCCCCCGACATCTGCCACGGCTCATCTTGACGTAGAGGGAGCTTTTGTGGACTCGGGGCCAAAAAGTCATCCCAGTACGCATGATGTAGATACACCATAGACCCTCAATAGCCTCACGTTTTCCCGATTCCCTTGGAGACTTTTCTTACTGCTTGTATGCGATCCATCTGTCCTTGCTGCGTTGCAAGAAGAGAAATGCTTCGGAAGGAACTACTCTTTCGGGAAAGCTTAGTATACCCGATATGGCTTGTCTGAATAAGGTCTGAATAAGGTGAAGGGAAAACCCATACAGACCAGTTAGTTCCCCTATCCCAAAATTGGTTGGAGCCACGGATACACATGCAACGGTGGTGGAACTGAGGATTGCCTTAATGCAACGATACGTAGCTGCTCGTAAACCTAAGATGCTCGGTGCAATTGTACCCTGGCGAGCCCTGACTGACCTGTGCCGTGATGCATGCCGTCACGGTGGGGTCTTATCCCCTGGTCTCGCAATGTAGGTGTAGTAGCATTGCTAGCAACTAAGATGATTTACGAACAGGATCGGCATAGAACTAGGGCGACGACACTCTCAAAAGAGACCTCTCCAAAAAAAACAGTTTCTCTCAAACCCTATCTACTTCTTGGAAAATGTTCAATCTAACATCTCGTGAGACGATGACATGAAGGCTGTGATAAATGCGAACTTGAAATACATCCATGTCCCACTCATGAGCGTAGGAAGTCGAGGTAGCATTATGCTACAATTAGCAAGTAGGTGGCCTAAGTCATTGTAGTATGGTTTGAAGTCAATGTCTTGACAGTTCATCTACTTTCTATATCAAGACGCAAGCTTCGGGGTAAGGACTGTTATTTCTACTGCTGCACTAATAAGCAATAACTGTTTTGTGTTTGATCACGAGAGATCTTTATGAGACCCATATTACCTGCATAGCTCTCCATAAAATTGAAAAGCGGAGAGTTTATGAGCTTAATCAGTTGTGCAGCAGGAAAGGCCCTTCTTTCGTCCGTGCTCTGATAATAAAGGCATTTGTCACGCCTCATTATCCACCTATCTCAGTTGCTTTGGCCCTGCACCTGCAGATTTTCTGACACGATGTCGTCAAATTCAGTAATTGTCCGTCTTGAAGTTACCCTTGAAAAACCTTGATTCCTCGGAACTCGCATGAAAACCCTAGTTTGACATGCGAGGGGGCCTACTATCTCGCAATAAGCCTGGGGTCGGTACAACCCCGATTCCGTTGATATCAAGGAATTGGGTGTGATTGCACCAGAATTGCCTGTATCGGCTGACTTGATTACCCGTGTCAAGTAAAATACCACCTGGACTGTCAGCCTGCCCCCTGAAGGGATCGCCGTTGTTAACATCCTTATAGGAAATAGGGTGTTATTTAAAGTCTCCTGCCCGCCGATCCCCTAGTTAAGAATATGCACGATTGATTAGTTAGCACCGTAGCATCTAGCTGTGCTGACGGTGAACAGATGTGTGCATTGCTTATTGTGTGAGGAGAGAAATGGCAAAGTGCATACACAGTTGCCTCCAATTTAGGGGTGGCCTCAACGAATTACTATCAAGCTATTGGGTCTAGCAAATATGAATACCACTGCTCCTATACCCGGTTGTCCCCCCTTTCCTTCTTCTAGGATGCGCCACAAAGGTTATTCAATGTGATATAGTAGACTAATCTTCTTAGTCGATTGTGTCTTGAATTACGATCCGTGATACGCCCCGCTGCACCTTCCAACATCCATCTGAGACTAAACCAGTATAGTGTAACCACACCTAAGAGAGTTACAAGAGTGATTGCTTGGACGGAAACCAAAGGCCAGTGCCTGGTGATTTTGGTTGGGAGTCTTACACACCAAGTGAGTGCTGATCCCCCCACCGAGCACTTGGTCAACGAGAGACAATACTCATTCCCTTCTTTCATTCTTACCGTGGTTAAGGTCCCTAACGAGACTGGTGCTTCAGACCATAACTTCAATTAACCATTCGAGTAAGCGAGGAACCAACGCTTCCTAAACCGACCCATATCAACTTCTTGGAACTCCCTAGAATAGAACCTCCGTTGATATACAACCATCAGGAAAACATGGCTGGGACCACTGAGAAAATGCCAATCGCTATATGTGGAGCGGGGGTACGATCCACTGGCGCCATTCCATTGTTCAATGAATCCACGATTTCACTTCCGGATAAGACAGAGGCGGCCGGGCGTCATGGCGCCACCGGTGAGACTTGTGACACCAAAGGTGAGTCCACCGCCGGTAATACCGGCGGCTATTTTGACCTCTTTTAAACCCAGGGCTCTAATGTCGATCAAGCAGAAGCTGCAGGGTTCCATATCCTTTCTGATATTGTACTGGAATGCTTAGAGGATGCGTGTGAGACAGTTTTCACTGATGAAGATGCTTTTGTTGGTATTTTCCTGGGAAATTCAGGCGCGGAAGGACAAAGTGACTCTGAAAATGATGCCCAAACCGCTGGGAGCCTGGGAAATAGCATTGGTCTACACGGGCCCTGGTAAGTTTCTCCAACCGCCTGATGATGGTCGTGTTCTAACGCGATATCAGCGTGAGCATTGGCACTGGGCCATCGGCTGCGTTCATTGCTTTGCATGAAGCGTGTTACGCAATTGCATCTGGAATGGCCGACTCTGCTGTAGCCGTTTGCATTGGACGCTCATCGATTACAACGACGAGCCAGGCGGAGTTCGCGGCTGTCTATGTCAAACCACTGGACGCTGCTCTGAGGGACGGGAATCCCGTACGAGCACTCATACGGGCCATCGAGACGGACTACTACAGTTCTGCTCACGAGGATGAAGTCAGTCCGGAACTGGCGTATGGTTCAATTATCCGCAGAGCGTATGAGAAAGCAGGCTTGAATCCCATCGATACAACTGCAGTGGAGGTGAGTTATCAGTTCCTCAACGTTATCTTTTTAGTTCTTTGGCGGGAACTACTATACGCTTGCTTTTCCTTGTTGCTCATTAGTTGTAGACTACTGGACACACGCGTCAATCGATCAGCGAAGCCGAAAGACTATCTATCAACAACGTGTTCGACGTGCAACGCGTCAATATCAATTCCATCAAGCCACAAAGTGGTAGTGGACAACATGTGGCAGGAATGGCCAATTTGCTCAACACCATACTTTGGCTGGAAGACAGGGAATCTTCCTCGTCTACATATCCAAATTCTCAAGATCAGAATGGAAGGGTCAGCATCAACTGCTTCGATGCCAGAGGGTCCAATGTTCATGTATGTCTTTTGACCAACCTTACAGTTAATATATTTTACTCATACAGGAAAAGATGATTATTGATCCGCCTCCCGTGGCCAATCAAGAACCACAGAGACTTACCGATCCGCAACTCATTCTCTTCTCTGGGCCATCGCCCCGTTCATTGACGAGACAGATTGAACTGTATGAGAGTTACTGTCTGGATCACAGCAATCGGGCGGTCGACATCGCCTACACAAGAGCAATACGCCGTAAAGCGTTGGATCAAAGGGCATTCTCTATTGTCTCCCAGGGAAAATTCATCAGCATTTCGAACCATGTCAAAATGCCTTCCTGTCCTCCACAGGTCACTTTCATATTCACCGGCCAAGGAGCACAATGGGCTGGTATGGGTGTCGAGCTTATTCAAACATACCCAACGATCAAGGAGGATCTTGAGATGATGGATAACATTTTGGGTGGGCTAGTACAGCCCCTATCCTGGAGCATTTTAGGTGAGTGAAGCGCCCATTCTTCTAGTTTAGAGACACAGAGTTGGTTGATGACCGTCTTCTTTTCGTTAGATGAAACCACAAGGAGCCCCAGCGATCCCAAAAATCGCGTCAATCACGCCGAATTGGCTCCAACTCTATGCACAGCCTTACAAATTGCTTTATTGCGGCAATTTGAGCGAATGGAGATCCCCGTGGAAGCTGTCATTGGGCACTCAAGTGGCGAGGTTGCTGCTGCCTATGCCGCTGGCTACTTGAGTTTACATGATGCCATTGTTGTGGCTTATCACTACGGTAAAATGGCTGCAGGCCGTACTAAACGTGGCGGTATGGCAACTGTAAGCTTGGATGTTGAGACAAGCCGCTCCTTTCTTCGTGAGGGTGTTGTCGTCGGTTGTGAGAACAGCCCTGGGAGTTCAACGCTTTCGGGTGATCTAGAAACCTTGAAGGAGGTTCTGGATACGATCGAAAATGCAAGGCCCGATGTGGCCGTTCGCATGGTAAAGACAGAGATGGCTTATCACTCCGGTGCGTATATGTCCCACACTTGACAATAGCTCTAGGGACCAGACCGCCTTTCTAATTCTATCTTAGATCAGATGCATGAGGTAGCAGGAGCATTCTTGCAGGGGATGCTTGAAGACAATGTCAAGTCTTCCCGGCCAAGGAAGAAGCAAAAAGCCGCATATTACTCATCCACGTACGGAAGAAGGCTGGGTGAAGACGAGGACCTTGGACCAGACTACTGGGTCAAGAATTTGACCCAGCCGGTTCTTTTCAGCTCTGCTGTTGCATGTCTCTTCGAGACGTCGTCTAGGAATCAGTTCCTTCTTGAAGTTGGGCCTCATTCAACTCTTGCTGTGCCTCTTCGACAGACCTGTGACGCGAAGCACGTAAGCTTCAACTATGTCTCGTCACAGACAAGGAGCAAAGATAACAAAGCGCAATTTTTGATCTCACTCGGGAGGCTATGGCAGGAAGGTGTACCATTCAACTTGCGGTCCGTGTTTCCCGGTGGGAAGCCCATTGGAGGTCTCCCAGTCGACCCCCGAGTTAACGACGAGATTTCTGAGGAGCTAGTGGAAGATGGCGACTCCTCCCCCGATATTTTGATTCTCAATTCAACGACACTTTCAGCAAAAGAGAAAAGAGAGCTCATTGTGTCCAGCTCACTACAACTGGCTCATTCACTACCAGACGAGGAGGTCCCAACAACAGAAATCGAGGTTATTCTTAGGGTAGTCTGGACCAAGGTTCTTCAAGGGATAGCCTCCATAAATCCGCAAAAGATTGGCAAGAGCCATAATTTCTTCTTACTGGGAGGTGACTCCCTCGTGATTATCGAGATGGTCAAGGTCGCCTATGAGATTGGACTTCGACTTGCACCCGCGGAGGTAATGCAACACCCCAGGCTTTCAGATATGGCTAGCATTGCTACAATTGACGACGAGGGCACTACACTGGTGAACGAGCGCTTTAGCATGGTTGCTCCACTAGTGAAAGGCACTTCCAGTGTCAGAGAAAAGGCCAGGCAGGCTTGCTCTCTCTCTGATCAGCGGTGCATCGAGGACATATATCCTTGTACTGCTCTGCAAGAGGGATTCATGGCTCTCGCAGTAACTCAACCGGGCTCTTACGTCCATCGTTGGGTATACAAACTTTCTGAATCCGTTGAAGTTGCACACTTCCAAGCCGCATGGAACCTGGTCATACAGAGGTGTACCACCTTGCGCTCCAGAATCTGCAGCATAGATGACAAGGCCCTCCAAATTGTGGTTCAAGACGACACCTCTTGGGAGCAGCCACCTTCGGGCCTAGATGTACATGCTTATGTCAATCATGCCCGGTCTATCCGAATGGCCTACGGCGATCGCCTCAGCCGATATGCTCTCGTGCATCAAGACGACGGCGCTGCCTACTTTGTTTGGATCCTCCACCATGCTGCTTTTGACGGCCTCACGATGAAGCTGGTTTTGGACGGGCTCTACAAGGCCTATTACGATAGCCAAAGCATTGGGCTCACGTTGCCTTACGCCAACTTTATTCACTACGTTGAGTCTTTGGATGTAGAATCAGCAAGAGACTACTGGCGTGGACAACTTGAGGGTGCAAAACCAGCATTATTTCCTACTGCTCGACCAACCACCAATTCCAAAATGTCCGGGCGGGTGAAGAAACTAACCATGGCCTTCCACAATACAACAAGGCCGGTTTTCACCACAGCTACGATCCTCCGTGCTGCGTGGGCCTTGGTCCTAGCGAAATACTGCGACACAGATGATGTGTGTTTTGGCACCACCGTTTCCGGCAGACAAGCTCCAGTTCCAGGATTGGGCGACATCCCTGGCCCAATGATCGCTACGGTCCCAGTTCGTGTTCGTCTTGTGGAAGACCAGAAGATTTCGAGCTTCCTCCAGGACATTCAAACTCAAGCCACCGAGATGGTTCCATTCGAACAGCTTGGCCTACAGAACATTGCAAAGCTCAGCCAAGACGCCAAAGAAGCTTGTAATTTCTCAAACTTGTTTGTCATACAGCCTTTGAATCACCTTTCATCTGCTGCGCTGGAAGCTACCGATGCTATTCTTTACCAAGGTAAAGAGGAGATGAGTCTTTCCGAAGAGGCTATGAATAATTATTTCACCTATCCACTAGTCATCCAGCCACGTATTGGCAAGGGCTACATAGAAATAGACTTCACTTACTACGCTGATATCGTCCCGGAGAAGCAACTTGAAGCGGTGTACCATCATCTAAAACACGTTATTGATCAGCTGCTCATTCCCGAAGACAAGCCCTTACGCGACATCTCCGTGTCAGGACCATGGGATATAGCCTATTCACGTGAAGCTAATGTTGGAGATGTTCGCATCGTTGATGAATGCTTTCACCATCTTGTTGAGAGACAGGCAAAGCTCAGAAGTGCGGAGCCTGCCATCGACGCTTGGGACTTGAAGCTGACATACGGAGAACTGAATGATGCAGCAAACAGGCTGTCGCGACACCTCGTGAACAGCTTGGGGGTCAGATCGAACGATTTGGTTCATGTGTGCTTTGAGAAGTCGGCATGGTACTACGTTGCTATTCTCGCGGTGAACAAAGCGGGCGCAGCCTGGGTTCCTCTGGACCCATCCCATCCCGTTCAGCGTCTACAACAGGTCGTGTCTCAGACGCAAGCTAGGTTAGCTCTGTCATCCTATGAAACCAAGCCTCTCTGCACTCTACTCCTGGACAAAGTCCTGGAGGTGGGAAATAGCCTCCTCGATGACCTCAAGGACAGGGAGTCAAACGAGGATGGAGTTGTGGATGTATCCCCCGAACAGGCCGCTTATGTCTTGTTCACATCGGGAAGCACAGGCATCCCGAAAGGTTTCGTCATGGAACATAAAGCTCTATGCACCAGTCAGACGGAAGGATCGACGAGGCTGGGAATGACTTCAAAAACCAGAATGCTACAATTTGCTGCCTATGTTTTTGACTTCTCGATTGGAGAGATTGTTGCACCTCTCATTGTTGGTGGTTGCCTCTGTGTGCCCTCTGAACATGATCGAACGAATCGTTTAGCCGAGTTTGTGAGTGAAAAGTCGGCCAATTGGATGTATTCGACTCCTGCGTTTCTCCGAACGCTAATTCCACAAGACATCCCGAGTATGGAGTTGATAATGCTTGGTGGAGAATCTATTGGCCAGGATATCCTCGACACTTGGTTCGGGAAGGTGAGGCTGCTTAATGCATGGGGCCCTGGTGAGACTTGTGTTTTCAACACATTTCATGAATGGGTTTCTACCAGAGAATCCCCAAGGTGCATCGGCCGTCCCATGGCAGCCAATATTTGGATTGTTGATCCCGAAGACCCACGGAAACTGGCTCCAATCGGGACTTCCGGTGAGGTTGTGATCCAAGGGCCAACACTCCTCAGGGAGTATCTTGCGGATAGAACCCAGACGGAATCAACTATCATTCGCACATTGCCCGCTTGGGCAACACACCAGGGACTGCCTGGTTGGGGTAGAATGTATAAAACTGGGGACCTTTGTTCCTATGACTTCAACGGGGCGATGGAATTTATAAGCCGAAAAGACACACAGGTTAAGATTCGAGGCATGAGAGTTGAGCTTGAAGAAATCGAAAACCACATCCGGGCGCAGTTACCTGGTGTCTATCAGGTTGTCGTCGATGTTCTCAAGTCTGATGCAAGCACTGTTCTTGTTGCATATTTGTGCTTCAGTGATGCAAGGAGAACTGGGAATGTTGTTCCGGAGGAAATCTTTCATCCGCCGTCAGCAGAGGACCAAATTCGTATTGCCGCTTTATTAGGCCAACTGGGCTCCAAGCTACCACGATATATGATTCCTACTCACATTCTCCACTGCCGGTTCATGCCTTCCACTAGCTCAACAAAGCTGGACAGGAGAAAGTTGGGGCAACTCACTGCCACGCTGACCAGTGATGTGCTTAATGCGATTTCACGTCTCAGCTCTGAGAAACGCGCACCAGAGACAGAAATGGAAACTCGCCTCCACTCAATATGGGCCAAAGTTCTGCAATTGCCACCAAAGTCTATTGGAAGAGACGATAGCTTTCTGAGGATAGGCGGTGACTCGATCTCCGTCATCAAACTGATCAGCGTTTGTCGCCAAAACGGCATTATTCTATCCACGAAAGATGTCTTTGACAGCCCGACTCTCCTGTCGGTGGCTGCCAAAGCAGTTGAATCCAATGAAAATGTCCACAATCAGGGAGCTGAATCACAATATGGCCTCCTTAATCAGAATACAATTAAGCAGCTGCAGGATCAGAAAATGAGAGAGCGCCTCGGGCTGTCCAGCGAGCAGGTTGTCGAAGATGCCTTCCCATGCTCACCGATGCAGGAAGGGCTGATGGCACTTACGGCTAAGCTACCAGGATCCTACGTTTGCAAGTACGTTTACCGAATACCCGAGTATACTGACATTGAGAAAGTGAAATATGCATGGGACAAGGCGATTCAGATATGTAGTAACTTCCGTTCCCGATTCGTCCTGATCGAAGGCCAGACGATCCAGCTCGTCATCAAGGAGCGTACTCTGTGGGAGCACAATAGCGCTGCCGATCCTGCGACATACATTCGCCAGAAAGACTATACGGACTTTGGATACGGAGCTTCGCTTTCGCGATATACGATTCTTTCGTGCGGTCGTGATAAATACTTCGTCTGGGCTGCCCATCACGCACTCTATGACGGGTGGTCACTGCGCGTAATGACCGATATTTTCGAGAGGATATATACAGGACAGGCCGTGGAAGATCTAACTCCATACTCGACCTTCGTCAAGTACATTGTGGACCTCGACCCCGAGAAATGCAGAGACTACTGGGCTAGTAAGCTAGCTGGGAGCAGGAAAATGTCATTCCCTCCTCTTCCACACAACCCTGCAGCGATCAAGGGAAGATTACCCCAGTACTTTCGTCATGATATTGACCTGAAGGGGAATAAGCACTCTTCAATCACGAGCGCTACAATAATCCGTGCTGCTTGGGCTGTTGTTCTTGCAAGCTACTGCAACTCTGATGATATCTGCTTTGGAGTCACCGTGTCAGGACGACAGGCGCCGGTTCCTGGAATCGAAAACATGTCAGGGCCTGGTATTGCTACTGTCCCCGTCCGCCTCCGTTTGGATCGCAACTCCAGCGTGGCTCAATTTCTTCAGACAGCCCAGGAGGATGCTGTTGAAACTATTCCGTTCGAACAGTTTGGCCTGCAGAAAATATCAAGGGCCAGCGATGATGCGAGAGTGGCAGCTGACTTCTCTACTCTGCTTGTTATTCAACCTACCATCAAGAATAGTGATAAAGAATCCGGTGGCCACTCAGTCCTTATTGCAGGCAGCACTGAGCAAGAGATGGTTCAGGAGACATTGGGCGACTACTTCAACTATCCCTTGGTGCTTGTCAGCAATGTCTATGAGGACCATTTCTATCAGCGCTTATTCTATGATGGCAACACCATCTCGAAAGATCAAGTTGTGGCAATGGCCAACCACCTTGAACACGTCATTCAGCAACTTTTGGTCAAGGTGGAAGAGTCACTCGGGAGCGTGTCCCTAGTCGGTCAGTGGGATATACAGCATGCCATAGACTCTCAGCGCCTCTGCCCACCAGTCAACTCATGCACACACTGGCTTATACAAGATCAGATCAAGAATCATCCGGATGATATAGCTGTTGCTGCCTGGGACCAGGATTTGACATATAGTGAGCTTGGAGTCTATGCTTCTCGATTGGCACTCAAGCTGCAGGAACTTGGCGTTGGGTCTGAAACTCTGGTTCCTTTCTGTTATCCCAAATCGTCGTGGGCTGTTGTCACAATGGTGGCAATACAGATGGCCGGTGGTGCCTTTGTTCCACTTGATCCAGCCGCGCCCACTGCAAGGCTCCAGTCCATTATTGACGGAACCAATGCCAAATTGGTTATTGTATCTCCGACACTCGGAGGTAAATTGCATGATCTGCAGACAAAGACGTTGGTCGTCGATGAGGCATTCTTGAGAGACCTCCCCGATGCCGTCCAACCAGTTTCATCTTCCACCAAACCAAACAATGCCAGTTTTGTCATCTTTACATCCGGTTCAACAGGAAAGCCAAAGGGAATACTCATCCAACATGACCAAATTTGCACTGGATTCATGAACTCGTATGGTCATGAACTGAACCTTGGACGTCATACTCGTGTTTTCAACTTTTGCGCATTCACATTCGACCTCGGAATTTTCGATGTGATTGGAACATTAAGCAGAGGCGGATGTGTCTGCATGCCCTCCGAAGAAGCAAGACTCAACGACTTGGCCGGTGCAATAAGGGCATTCAAAGCGAACTGGCTGTTCTGCACCCCGACAGTCCTGAACCTCCTGCACCCAGAAGACGTGCCACTGATAAAGACTGTTGGATTAGGTGGTGAGGCCATTACGAAGACGATCTCAGACCGCTGGAAGGACCATGTACAGCTCAACGGGCTATACGGTCCTGCTGAAGGTTCTTCGTGTGCTCGTAATCCCGACGTGGGGAGAGATGATAAGCCAACTAACATCGGAGTTCCAATGTCCAGCGCATTCTGGGTGGTCAACCCAGAAAATATGAAGGAACTTGTGCCGGTAGGTGGCATAGGCGAGCTTCTAATCCAAGGACCCATGCTGGCCAGAGGGTACATTAATGTCTCGCCCGAGCAGAATGCAGTTTGGATAGAGGACATTGACTGGTTACCTGGTGAAGCATCACGCCGCAGAGGATATCTTACTGGTGATCTGGTACGCCGAAATGCTGATGGCACTTGCGAATATCTGGGCCGCAAAGACACGCAAGTGAAGATTCACGGCCAAAGAGTGGAACTTGGGGAGATCGAAGCACAAATCCATCAGTACCTACCAAATGAGATGAGTGCAGTCGTCGATGTTGTGAAGAGTGAGGAAGCGTCCACAGAGAGTTTGACAGCCTTAATGTGGTACAATAAATCCTCCGATAAGATCGCTCAAGGCCCGTTGAGTTTGCTTGAAGACGTTACTGAAGGAGTTAAGTCTCTCATATCCTCGATAAACAAGTCCCTGCAATCAGTCTTGCCTTCATATATGATTCCATTAACCTATTTGATATTCCAAGGCAAACCAGATATGTCTACCTCTGGGAAAGTTGATAGAAAGGTTCTTCTGTCCCACGCAATGACTATATCGACGCAGGATCGGCTTCGCTTCGAACTAGAGGCTCACGAAAATAAGCCTCCCACAACCCAGATGGAACTCAAGTTGAGGGACCTATGGGCCCAAATTCTGACCATTGAAGTCTCGGGAATTGGTAAATATGACAGCTTCCTGAGGTTAGGTGGTGATTCCATCAGTGCGATCCAGCTGGTCACTTTGGCTCGCGATCACAACATTGGCCTAAGCGTTGCTCTGATTTTCAGCGAGCCCCAGCTGTCATCAATGGCAGAAGCAGCAGAATACGGTTTAGATGATTCAAAGCCCGACATGACGCCCTTTAGAATGGTTTCCGAGGCGCAGAAGAGCCGCATTTTTTCCATATGCCGCGATGATCACAGACTCGACAGCAGTGCCATTGAGGATGCCTACCCAAGCACAAAGCTACAAGAGGGGCTTATGGCTCTCTCTGTAAAACAACCCGGCTCCTACATTGCTACCCATATGTACCGACTGTCGCCTGATGTTGATATTGGACGTCTGCAACACGCTATTGAAAGAACCATTCAGTTTTGCTCCAACTTACGAACGAGAATCGTCGATGCCGATGGAGAAGCCTTCCAAGTTGTAGTCAAGGATGACCTTTCGTGGGAAGTGCTGTCCAAGGGTACAGAGCCTCAGGGATTATTAGCTACATCAAAAAGTATCACTATGACATATGGGTCTCAGCTAAACCATTTCACGGTCTTCAATAATACGGAAGGGACCAAGTACCTGATGTGGCGAAGCCATCACACGACCTTTGACGGCTGGACCATCGGGATCATCCTCGATTGCATCGACAGCGTTTACTATGACAGGAGCCCACCAAATATCATCCCTTACTCTGCGTTCGTCTCCTACACCCTGGGCGTCGATGTCGCTGCTGCTGAGGCCTTTTGGGCCGAGCAGTTACGCGGTGCTCACAAGACACCTTTCCCTTCACCACAACTTGCAGCATCCAAGGAAACTAGAATGTTTACGAAGTTCGTCACACTGCCAAAATCAGAGGGCTCGTCCATCACCCAAGCCACCATCATCCGGGCAGCGTGGGCCATTCTCCTTGCCAGGTACAGCGGGACTGACCATGTATGTTATGGTGCTGCTGTGTCAGGTCGTAACGCTGCGATCCAAGGCGTTGAAGACATTTCTGGTGTCATGGTTGCCACTGTCCCCGTCCACGTCTTGATTGATGGATCTAAACCGGTTGGACGGTTCCTGGAAGAGATTCAGCTTCAAGCGTCTAGTATGATTGAGTATGAGCAGTTCGGCTTACAGAATATTGCCGCAATCAATGACGAGTGTAAAGAGGCATGCGACGTATCCAGCTTAATCGCCGTCCAAACAAGCAAACAGTCCGGAATATTTTCCGGCAATGACCTTTTGGCCCCAATGGGACTAAAAGACGATGTTGTTGAGAGTTCTCTTCAAGGATATTTGACTTATACTCTCGTTATGGAAGGTACGCTGGTTGACGGTGGCATTGAGCTGGTATTTATCCATGATACTGGTGTTCTGAAGCCAGTTCAAATTGAAGCCATGGCTCACCAGCTCGAGAAGCTTATTTTGGAACTGCGAACCGATAGCTCCAAGCTCCTCAAGGACGTCTCCATGACCTCTGATTGGGATGTCGAAGTCGCTTTAGCCCGAAATCCTCTACCTCGCGCTATGGATACTTGTGTCCAATACATTTTTGAAGATAAGGTGAAAATTCACCCAGACGCTCCAGCAGTTTATTCGTGGGACGGGGAGCTTTCATATGGGGAGCTCAATAGTCTGGCGAACAACCTTGCTTCTCATCTTATGGACCAATTGAGGGTCAACGTAAGCGACATTATACATGTTTGTTTTGATAAGTCGGCTTGGTATTGTGTTGTGATTCTGGCTATTCATAAAGCTGGTGCTTCCTTCTCCCCCATCGACCCAGCTCACCCGGTCAAAAGGAAGCAGGAAATAACAAAGCAGACAAAGGCAAAACTCATGCTAGTCTCGCCGAATCATTTGCCAATTTCTCAGGACCTTGTGGAAGACGTTGTGCCAATAGACAAGCAGTTTTTGCTCGGCTTGAAACATAACTCCGAAAACCCAGAAACCACGGTTAGCCCAGACGACATCGCATACATCATGTTCACTTCAGGCAGTACCGGAACGCCTAAAGGTTATGTGATAGAGCATAGGGCTCTCGCATGGGGGCAGCAAGATCTCGCCAAGCGCCTGCGTGTTGGATCTGAGGCTCGTATACTCCAATTTGGTAACTTCATCTTTGACTTCTCCGTCGGCGAGATCTGGCAGGCATGGGTGAACGGTGGCTGCATATGTCTCCCATCCGAGGAAATGAGGCTTAATAACATGCAGGAGTTCATGAACATGGCCCAGGTCAACGGGGCCTTGTTCACACCTACCTTCGCCAGCACGATCAACCCTGAAGAAGTACCATCTCTTAAATGGCTTCTGATTGGAGGAGAGACCGTACAGAGAGATGTATATGAGAGCTGGTTCGGAAAGGTGCGATTGATAGGGGCATGGGGACCAAGTGAGACCTGCTTTATCAGCTCAACACACGAATACACGTCTCTGGAAGACTCTCCTTCGACTATTGGAGAGCCCATTGCCGCTTACAATTGGATTGTTGACCCTGAAGACCCACGAGTTCTAGCACCTATCGGTACAGTTGGTGAAATCCTGGTTCAGGGCCCAACTGTGTTTCGGGAGTACCTTGGAGATCCAGAGAAAATGAAGGCATGTAGGGTTGAGAACGTGCCTCCGTGGGCATTCGAACGCGATCACGTCTCATTCGACCGTTCCTATAGGAGTGGAGATCTGGCGTTCTATAACGCTCAGGGCAAGATGGAATTCGTGAGTCGGAAAGACACCCAAGTCAAGATTCGTGGCCTACGTGTGGAATTGTCTGAGATCGAGCATCATATTCTATCACTACTGGAGGAAGCAGTGCAAGTCGCTGTTGACGTGTACAGGCCCGAGGGAGCTGTCCATCTTGTTGCCTATTTTGCCTTTTCTGACGAGACAAAGTTCGTCAGGGCCGACGATGCACTTGCAACTGACATGTTCTTACCAGTCGCGCCAGAACTTGAGCATAAAATTTTGGAGTTAGTTGGAAAGCTCAAGACTATTCTCCCGGGATACATGGTCCCATCTATTTTCATCCCCTGTGGGTATATGCCCATGGGAGGCACTTCGAAGCTCGACCGTAAAGCTCTCCAAGGATCTCTCTCGTCTCTTACGCAAGATCAGTTGGCGCATTATTCACTTGTCAATTCCACCAAACGAGCCCCTCGGACACAGATAGAAAGCCGCATGCAAGAGCTTTGGGCCTCCCTTCTCAAAATTCCCACCGATTCCATTGGCATTGATGACAGCTTTTTGCAAATTGGTGGTGACTCTATCAGGGCAATCCAGCTGGTTGCTAAGGCTCGAGGAGTCGGCCTCGGACTTACTGTGAAAGACGTCTTTGATGACCCTCGTCTCCACGCAGTAGCTTCGTGTACCATTGAGCTCGGATCAACGCACAAACAAGCCAACGAAATAATTCAGCCATTTAGTTTGCTGCAACAGGGATTGCGTGGTGTTGACTGGGAGAGTGAAGCCAGAGATTTGTGTGGTCTTACTGCCGACCAATATATCGAAAACGCCATGCCTGTGACTGCATTTCAGGAGGGATTAATGGCACTTTCGGTGAAGCAGCCAGGTTCACATATCGGAAGGTTTCTTTACAAATTAGCCCCCAACGTGGATGTGAATCGGTTCCGAAACGCTTGGGGAAGAACAATTTGCCTGTGTCGAAACTTGCACACTCGCATTGTCAATACATCCCAGCAGACACTACAGCTGGTTGTAGCAAACGATGGTTCTTGGGAAGATACTACAAATCTCAGTCTCAAGGACTACATGAGACAAAAGCTCAACATGTCTTACGGTTCCCGTTTGAATAGATGGGCATTATTCGAGGAATCCAACGGCGAGACTTTCTTCAGTTTTACTGCGCATCACGCCATTTACGACGGGTGGTCAGTTCAGCTTGTGCTTCAAACTCTAGCTGAATCATACAATCAAACAAACAACCACGACGTCAAGCCGTTTGATGCTTTCATAAAATACACTGAAAGCTTAGATAAAGAGGCGGCTCGGCAGTTTTGGCTCAAAGAGCTCAAAGACGCTTCAGCTGCAAGTTTCCCACCTCGTAGGCAAAATTTCGAGAACGCTGAAACAAGAGTTTTGAACCACGAGTTCAAGTTACCTATGTCTTCACACGCTTCCATAACGCAAGCCACGATTATTCGAGCTGCATGGGCCTTGCTTCTGGCCCAATACTGTGGCACAGAGAACGTCTGTTTCGGAACATCTGTTTCTGGCCGTCAAGCACCTGTTGCTGGAATTGGTGAGCTGGCGGGCCCTGTTGTAATGACCATGCCCGTCCATATTCTCATCGACCCAAATACTTCCACCTTTGAATTCCTGCAAGCGGTACAAGCCCAAGCCACCGAAACGATTGCATATGAACAGTTTGGATTGCATAATATTCTCAAGCTTGGGGACTCAATTCGTGACGCCTGCAGCTTTTCCAGCCTGTTGGTTGTTCAACCACGTGAGAAAATGGCTGAGACTGGCCGTGAAGCGGAAAAGATACTTGTACCTGTGGAAAGTGATAAAAATAACGATCCAAACATCCAAGGATATTTCAACTATCCATTAATCGTACAGGCTTTTGTTTCTTCCACGGAGGTTCACCTTAACATCACTTATTATTCTCAAGACATCAGCACCTTCCAGGTTGAGGGTCTCATGAACCAACTCGAACATATTATCAAAACGCTCTCCGTCGAGGGCAGCAAACCGATTCGACAGCTAGAAACGGCGAGCCCTTGGGATCTTCAACATGCCCAGAGCTTCAACAACGAAATCCCGGAGGTGATTAACTCTACATTCCATGAGTTGGTTGGGAAGCAGGCCAGGGCAAGGCCAGATGCCATAGCTGTACAAGCCTGGGATGCTACTTTGACATATGGTGAATTAAATACGTATGCCGACTACCTTGCGCGATACTTAATTGTTGAGCTCGGTGTAGAAAGAGGAGATCTTATTCATGTGTGCTTTGAGAAGTCAGCATTTCATTTGATCTCCATTTTGGCCATCAACAAGGCTGGTGCAGGATGGGTGCCTCTTGACCCATCTCATCCCTTTCAACGACTGCAGCAGCTCGTGTCTCAGACCAAGGCAAAGCTTATCCTCACATCAGCTAAACAGGCTGAACTAAGTAATGCCCTTTTATTGGAGGTTGTCCAAGTTTCACGTGCTTTTGTCGACAAACTGGTCAAAGAATACACGATCACTGGGCCAGCAACTAATCTGATAGGCAACAAGGCTGAGCCTTCCGACGTCTGCTACGTTCTTTTCACATCTGGAAGTACTGGCACACCGAAAGGGTTGGTGATGGAGCACCGCGCCCTATGTACAAGCCAGACTGCCACTGTGCGAAGACTGGGCTTCAATCCAAACGTCAAGATGCTCCAATTCGCTTCCTATGTATTCGATATGTCCGTCGGCGAGATTGTCGGATCCTTGATTTCCGGTGCTACACTCTGCGTGCCCTCTGATGACGTCCGTCTTGGTGGCGTAGCCGACTTCATTCGCGAAAGCAACGTTACGTGGGCCTACTTCACGCCATCGTTTGTTCGTACCTTGACTCCTGAGTCTGTACCCTCGCTTGAGCTACTGGCCCTGGCAGGAGAGGCAATCCCAAGGGATGTTTTTGAGAAATGGATCGTGACCAATGTCCGCTTTATCAATGGTTGGGGCCCCGCGGAAACATGTGTCTTTAGCACTTTACACGAATTCAAATCTATCGACGAATCTCCACAGACGTTGGGTAGGCCAGTTGGTGGACTCTCTTGGGTGGTACAGCCCGACGATCCTTACAAGCTTGCGTCGGTAGGAACCCTAGGTGAAGTTGTTGTCCAAGGCCCGACACTTCTACGTGAATATCTATCAGATCCGGAGCGTACAGAGAATTCGACAGTTCAGAATGTTCCACAATGGGATCATCGTGCGGACCCATGGAGTCGCGGATTCCGTACCGGTGACCTTTGCTTCATCAATGGAAGTGGGCTCCTTGAATTCGCTAGCCGTAAGGACACTCAAGTCAAAGTCCGTGGTGCTCGAGTCGAACTAGGAGAAGTTGAGAATGCGATTCAATCACATCTCCCTGGCCTACGTCGAGTAGCAGTTGACATTGTTCATACTCCTGCTGGAGCGACTCTTGCTGCCTTCCTGTGCTTCACTGATGATGCCAATACCCGAAAATCGTCAAATGACGGCCGGTTCCTACCAATGAGTAAGGACATCGGTGACCAAGTAGCGGACATGCTTGCCAAACTGAAGGTAACCCTTCCACACTACATGGTGCCTAGGTTGTTCATTCCCTGCAGTAATATGCCGTTCATTACATCCTCGAAACTCGATAGGAGGACGCTCGTTGCCGAAGCCTCAAGCCTGGATCACGATCAGATTGTCGCATATTCTCTTCAAAATGCAGAAAAGCGACCGCCTGTCACAGACATGGAGATCAGACTGCAGAAACTCTGGGCAGAGGTGCTCCACATCTCTACTGATGCAATTGGTCGCGACGATAGTTTCTTTACCATTGGGGGTGATTCAATCGCTGCTATTCATCTCATGACTGCGTCTCGAAAAGAGAGTGTCACCATCCGTGCTGACGACGTTTTTCGGTACCCTCAGCTCTTCCAGCTCGCCCTTCGAGTAAGCAAAGTGGCTGGCTCGGAATCAAGCGAGCTTGAACTCGAGCCGTTCGAGCTTCTCACAACTACTGAGCGAGACCTGGTTCTAGGGGATGCACGATCTGAGCTTGGCTTAGCGAAAGAATGTTCTGTGGAAGATGCGTTTCTCTGCTCTCCTCTCCAGGAGGGATTAATCTCTCTCTCCGTAAAACAAGCCGGGTCCTACATTGCGAAATATTTCCTTGAGATTCCAGACCACATCGAGATCGAAAGATTTAAATCTGCTTGGCAACAAACCGTTGAGCTGAATGGGAACTTGAGAACCAGAATTATAGATACAGGCAACCGTCCTATTCAAGTATTGCTGAAGGAAGACTTGCGCTGGGAGCCTACGCTGGGACTGGGCCTCGAAGACTTCGTCAATGTCACTCAGGGCTATACCATGACTTTGGGAACTTCACTTAATCGCTACGCGATCGTATCAGATGCCCCATCTGGTAAAACCTTCTTTGTATGGATATCGCATCATTCCATTTCGGATGGGTGGGCACTACAATTGGCCTTTAGAACACTGTTTGAGTGCTACTGGGGGAAAGTGACCGGCCCATTATACCCGTATGCCAATTTCATAAAGCATACTCTGGATCTCGACTGGGATGCAGCTGCCGGCTTCTGGGGCAGGCAGCTTGAAGGTGCAACCAGTATGCCTTTCCCACCACCCAGCCTCAAAAACACGAAGCCTGTCTTCAAGTTTGCTCATCACAAAGTGCAAATGCCAGCGAGACGAGGTACCTCTGCAACCCTCGCGACGGTTCTCAGAGCAGCATGGGCCATAGTCTTAGCCAGGCATTGCAATACCAGCGATGTGTGTTTTGGTGCAACAGTATCCGGCCGCAACGCCTCTCTCACCGGGCTACAGGACATGCCTGGTCCTACAATAGCCACTATACCAGTTCGAATCCGGCTCGATAGTTCCACTGACGTGGAAAGCCTCCTTCAAGATGTGCAGAACCACGCCACTGAGATGACGGCGTATGAACAATTCGGCATCCAGAATATTGCAAAAGTAAGCAACGATGCACGAAATGCGTGCCAATTCTCTTCTCTTTTGGTCATCCGACCGCAATCCCACATCCAGGGGAATAGCAATCATGACTCCGTCCTCAAGTTCGTCGAAGGAAATGAGATGACTGAGAAAGAGAGCGTCAACTATTTCACCTATCCTCTTAGTTTTGGCCTGGATTTGTTCCCCGACCACATTGGTATAAGCTTAAGTTATGACAATAATGTTCTGTCCACAGACCTTGTCAACGCAATAATTCATCAGTGGGAGTTTGTTGTTCAGCAACTTTTCACAAAACCCTCAGAGACTGTTGGCAACGTCTCTCTTACCAGCCCTTGGGATATTGAACATGCCCTTCGCTACCAGAAAATGCATTCTCCCATTGAAATGTGCATTCATGACATGATCCGCGAACAAGTAGTACTGAGACCTGATTCACAGGCTTTGGTATCTTGGGATGGCGAGATGTCCTACAAGGAAATGGGCTACTTTTCTGAGAAGCTGGCGAGCAAGTTGCGTCATCTAGGTGTTGGGCCCGGAGTCTTCATCCCAGTGTGCTTCCCTAAGTCTATCTGGGCTGTCATATCGATGGTTGCGATTAATATGGCTGGTAGTGGGTTTGTGCCGCTCGATTATAAGTCGCCGGCATCTCGCTTGAAAGAAATCATCAGCGATACTAACTCGACACTGGTACTTGCTGATCCAACTTGTCTTGACCTAGTTGGGCAGATTGGAATTGATTTTGTCATTATAAACAAAGATTTCATCCTTCAGTCGTCAGAGGTAGCTGAGACTGAACCCTCCTCTATTCCTCTTGTTAAGCCGACCGACCCCAGTATGGTCCTATTTACTTCTGGGTCTACGGGAAAACCGAAGGGAATTGTCTTTGAGCATCGCAATACCTGCTCGACGGCGAAATGGCACGGCGATACCCTGGGCTGGGGGCCGGACACACGTGTCTTTACGTATTCCGCATATACGTTTGATATGGGAATATTGGAGATACTGATGTCTCTTTCTCGTGGCGCATGCCTTTGTATTCCGTCAGAATGGCAGCGGTACAATGACATCCACGGAGCTATCAATTCCACCCGGGCGAATTGGGCTTTCTTTACCACAACCCTGGCTGGACTCCTAAATCCGAGCGAGATACCGTTGGTAAAGGGAGTTGGACTTGGCGGTGAGAAAGTGACACAGAAAGCTATCGACCATTGGCAAGGTCACGCCAAAGTCTATTCCATGTACGGACCGGCAGAGGCCTCCAACTGTAACGAGATGAAAGAAATCGGAACTCCCCCACGGCCCAATAATATTGGTGGCCCCTCGTCAGGTGCTTGGTGGGCTGTGAATCCCGATAACTACAGGGAGCTTGTCCCGGTCGGATGTATTGGTGAGCTAATGATCCAAGGGCCGATGATGGCGCGAGGGTATATCAATGCCAGCGAAGTGGCGAACAAAGCCTGGCTCTACGACGTTGACTGGCTTCCTGGAAGGGGTTTCCCTAGGAAGGCTTACCTTACAGGTGACCTTGTCCGCCGACTCGAAGATGGATCTTTCTATTATCTTGGTCGCAAAGATACACAAATCAAACTCCATGGGCAGCGTGTCGAACTGAGTGAGATTGAGACTCGCGTGGAACAGAAATTACCCTCAGATATGAGCTGTGTCGTCGATTGTATTATCAATGAGGAGACTCAAACAGATACCTTGGCGGTTCTACTATGGTATACGAGTGGACATTATGCTCAAGATCCTAGCTTTAGATTGATTGACGAGATACCAAACGAGATACTTGACTTGATTGCAGGTTTTGACTCTTCGTTGGGAGCAGAACTGCCCGCCTATATGGTCCCTGGAATGTACCTTGTGTTTCAGGGCACCCCTGAGAGGAACAGATCAGGCAAAGTTGACAGGAGGAAGCTTCGCGCAATCGCAAACGCTGCCCCAGCTAGTCAAAGACTCAAGTTTTCCAGCAGCGCTCAAAGCACAGAAAAACCGGAGACCGAGCTTGAGATCACACTATCTCGGCTCTGGGCTCAAGTATTGCCAATTGACGCCAACGATATTGGCCGACATGAGAGTTTCCTGAGAGTTGGCGGCGACTCCATCAGTGCGATCAGACTGAGCACTCTGGCGCGTGAACAACGCCTTTCACTTGATGTTGCAACAATCTTCCGAGACCCGCGGCTTTCTGCAATGGCCAGCGCAGCGGCGCCAATTGTGGATGAGATCAATGGTGCTCCTGGTGCCTTCAGTTTGATTTCGGATCTTCCACAAAGTGAAACTATTGACGAAGTGGCGAGTAAATGTGGAATTCACGATGTCAATCGAATAGAGGACGTTCTTCCTTGCACCCCCTTGCAATCTGGTCTTATGGCTTTGACAGTGAAGCAGCCAAGATCATATATTGCCCAGAACGCCTTTCAGCTTTCAAGCACGGTAAATATCGCTGTCTTCAAGCATGCTTGGGCCCGGACTGCCGAGATGTGTCCCACTTTACGAACAAGAATCGTCCATGTCCAGGGCAAGACACTCCAGGCAGTTCTCAAGGATGACTTCACTTGGGAAGATTTGTCTCCCAATACAAATATACCTACCCACTTGGGTGAAGTAACCATGTCGTACGCAGATCGTCTCAATCGATTTTTTCTCTACAAGGATGAAACAGGGAGTTTCAATTTCGTATGGCTAGCGCACCACACAGTATTCGACGGGTGGACGGTACAGCTAATTATGAGAGTGTTCAATCACATCTACCATAATACAGAAGTACCGCGATTAACCCCTTACTCGACATTTATTGCATATTCCATGACGATTAGTGAATCCGCAAATAAAGCTTTCTGGGAGAAGGAGCTCCGCGGTGCTCAAAGGGCTCCTTTCCCACCAACCTCCAAGAGCCTTTCATCCATTACGGAGGTCCTCCAGAAAACGCTGTCATTCCCAGAACTGAAGAGCAGATCGGTCACAAGCGCTACAATACTCCGTTCTGCCTGGGCTCTTCTGCTCGCTCGGTACTGCGGATCTGAGGATATCACTTTCGCAGCTACTGTGTCTGGCCGTAACGCGCCGGTTGCCGGGATAGACCAAATTCCCGGAACAATGATCGCAACCATCCCCGTTCGCATCAAGCTGGATAATCAGAAGACTATTCACACGTTCTTGGAGGACGTGCAAACACAGGCATTTGGCATGGCTGCCTATGAGCAGTATGGTATACAAAACATCGCCAAAGTCAGCGATGATGCCAAGGAAGCTTGCGAGTTTTCTAGTCTCACAGTGATCCAACCTTCGCAGCAATACGAGTACCAGAAAAATGAGACGCTCCTTCTTCCCTCAAAAGGTGATCAGGATTCAGTTCAATCCTCGCTCGCGGGATATTTTACCTATCCCCTTGTCATGCAATGCCTGCTGGCCGGCGACGAAGTTGAGCTCTGTTTGATTTACGACGCTGGGGTTCTCAAGAGACCCCAGATTGAGGCGATGTCACATCAATTCGAAAAGCTTGTTTCAGAACTGCTTTCTGATGATCGAGAGAAACGACTCGAAAACGTCTCAATGGTGTCCTCTTGGGATGTTGAGACTGCCATCAGCCGGAATCCCATACCTAAAGTTATTGAGGTCCCTATGCCTAATGTGATAGCCAACTTTGCAGAGAGCCAGCCCGGCGCGGCAGCGGTTCATGCCTGGGATGGAGAATTTACCTACTCTGAGCTTAATGATGCCTCAACCCGTCTTGCAGGAATATTGGTAAAGCAATATCATGTTAGAGTCGGTGAAGTCGTCCACGTCTGCATGAACAAGTCCAAATGGTATCCAGTCTCAATACTAGCAATCAATAAGGCCCGCGCTGCCTTCTCGCCCATCGACCCGGAGTACCCCTTTGAACGGAAGCAGAACATCATACAGCAAACAGGTTCAAGACTTGTGTTGATATCCTCGGACCAATCCGAGTGCTTTTCGAAACTGGTCGAGGACACAGTCGAAGTCACTGATGATTTCTTCTCCGGCCTTGGACAATCAATTGATGGGCCCCAAATCGATATAAAACCAGAAGATGTAGCGTACGTTCTCTTCACTTCGGGAAGTACAGGCACCCCGAAAGGCTTCATCATGGAACACGGTTCTTTGTCCTCGGCCCAGCATGGGATCTCAGAACGTATCCGCTTCAAGCCTGGGGATCGAGTGCTCCAATTCGCCAATTTCGCCTTTGACTTCTCCATCGGTGAGCTCTTCCAAGCGCTATACAGCGGAGCATGCATATGCATTCCCTCCGACGAAATGAGGCTCAACAACGTACAAAAGTTCATACGAGACGCCAGGGTGAATTGCGCTCTCGTCAGCCCAGCATTTGCTCGTACCATACAACCAGAGCAAGTCCCTTCCCTCGAGACTCTCGGTCTGGGCGGCGAAACTGTGCCACAGGATCTTCTGGACCAATGGCACGGAAGAGTACGCCTGATAAACTTTTGGGGGCCCGGAGAAACGTGTTTTGCCAGCAGTATCCACGAGTATAAGAGTTCTAATGAAGCGCCAGCAACCATTGGGTATCCGGTTAGTTCCCGCTGCTGGATCGTCGACCCTACAAACCCGAGAGAACTAGCTCCCATCGGCACTGTAGGTGAGGTTCTAATTCAAGGCCCTACCATCATTCGTGAATACCTCAACGATGTCGAAAAGACAAGAGCCTCGGTTGTTGAAGACCTACCCTCTTGGGCAGTGACAGGTCAAGGGTCCCGTTTCAAGCGTGCTTTCCTGTCCGGCGACCTGGCCTCATATAATCCGGATGGCACAATGCATTTCGTCAGCCGAAAGGATACCCAGGTCAAAATTAGAGGTCTCCGCGTCGAGCTGGGAGAAATAGAGCACCACATACTGTCTGACCTCGGTGGAGTTTCACAGGTCGCTGTCGATGTGCTACGGAGCGCAGAAGCGGCAAACATAGTCGCTTACTTCTCCTTTTCTGACGCAAGACGGACTGGCACAAGTGATCTGGAATCCATGTTCCAGACAATCTCACCTGACCTCAAACTTCAACTTTTGGAATTGCTGGGCAAGCTCAGGCTCCATCTTCCCGCCTACATGGTCCCCTCAATCTTCATACCATGCGATTTCATGCCCATCAGCGCCTCATCAAAGCTCAATCGAAAAGCGCTGCGAGAACAAACCGCCAAGTTGTCTGTAGAGCAGCTACACCACTACTCGTTAACCAATACCGAGAAGCGAGCACCAGAAACCCCCATGGAGACTCGTATCCAGGCCCTGTGGGCATCAATCCTGGGCTTATCTGCAGAGTCAATTGGCCGCGATGACAACTTCTTGCAGCTCGGGGGCGATTCAATCACGGCAATTCACCTTGTCGCAGCAGCCCGTGAGGTCGGGATCGAACTCACAGTTATACAAATTTTCGAAGATCCCAGGCTTTCCACTGTAGCGTCTCGGGCGATCGAGATACTTACAAACGAAGACGAAGATGAAGACCGGCAATTGGAACCGTTTGATTTGGTTCCCGCAGATCTGCAGGACCTGGACTGGGAAATGGAAGTTGGGGATATTTGCGATCTTTCAGGGAGTCAGCTAATCGAGAACGCGATGCCTGCAACATCCACTCAAGAGCATATAATGACACTGTCCAACGAAAACCCAGAACCTTTCATCTCCAGGCGGATATATAAATTATCTGTGGATGTCAACATCAAAAGGTTCCGTAATGCATGGGTCAAAACTGTAGGGTCCTGCCCCATCCTACGAACGCGCATCGTCGAAGTCTCCGGAACAATAATGCAAGTTGTTGTGGCTTTTGATGTTGCTTGGGAAGTTACCAAAAACATGGAATTGGAGGATTACATCAGCCAAGCTGACGATATGGAAATGTCGTGTGGTTCAAGATTGAATCGCTGGGCGTTGATACAGCAGCCTTCTGGGGAATCACTATTCGTTCTGACTTCCCACCAGGCCATCCATGATGAGTGGACAATACGTCTCATACTGAGAACACTTTCCCATCATTATGATCGAACTAAAGTCCCCAGCGTCCGAGATTTCGGATACTTCATTCAATACCTTGAGACTCAAGACCGTGAGGCTGCCCGAAAATACTGGCAGAACCAGCTTAAAGGTGCCAAAGCCGCTGCGTTCCCATCTCCAAGTCAGGGCTTGTCAAAAGGTGTTGGCAAAATAACCAGATCTGTTGATCTCCCCAAGTCGTATCAACCGTCAATATCCCCCTCGATATTAGCGAGATCTTCGTGGGCGCTGCTACTTGCTCATCACTGCGGCACAGATGATATCTGTTTCGGTACATCTTTCACTGGTCGACATGCTCCTGTTTCAGACATTCGTGACATTGCCGGGCCGGTTTCTCATGTTTTGCCATTCCGTTTACGTATTGATCGCAGCACGCCTGTTGGTACGTTCCTTGAACTCATGCAGAAGCAAGCTACGGAGATGATCCCGTATCAGCACTTCGGCCTCCCAGATATATTGAAGCTTAGAGGCGATAGTCAGGATGCTGCTACATTCTCAAGCATATTCAAGGTTGAGTCATCCAGTGAATTGGCAGATGTATATGATGAATCGGAAGTGATGTCGTCTGTCGCCGAAGAGGATACCCCCGCTGAGATACAGGAATCCTTCGCCCAGCCATTGGTAGTTGAAAGCCTCGTTTCTTCCTTAACTATTCGCTTTACCATGAATTTCAACTCGACTCATTTGAGTTCCGCACAAGCGGAGGAGCTTGCCGGTCAGCTTGAGCATGCCATTCACTTCATGGCTACCGATCCTTCCAAGACATTAGGGCAATTCGCAGCAACCCTTTAGGGCCAACGGCTCTTAGAGAACCAAATGGGCATCAGCGCAATGGAGGCATATAAATGTGTGGAGTCATAAAGACAATGGGATCATAAAGTGCATAGTTATTAGGAGACCAGTGTCGCAGGGCTGAGTAGTACAGAAGGAAGGGGTGGAGAGAATGAGAGGGGAAATTGCATGTATCTTTTATTTACATATCTACCTAATCGTTTGTATCACTCAAGAAGGTATATCTTCCATAAGCTCACTTGCCGTAAGAATGCTCTGAAAAGCCCTTTGATGTAGAATGAGCTGCCTATTTTCTTAAAGATTGAGTCTAAGGTAGCGATGACATGGAAGGTGGTTACTTTTCAATCGCAGGGCACTAACTGCAGCGCAACATTGATGTGGTCTAATAAAGCGATGATGGGACAGGGCGAGTGATGGCCCAAACAGCTAACAAGGACTAGTAAAGGGGGAATAAAGTATGTTTACTGCTATTACAATACCGATAAATTAGCGGTACTTTATTTACATGAACGCGGATGCCATCCCTGCACCGGGACCGAAGACAGGTACCGAAGACACATGATATGAGCAAGTGCCGATGCGGTAGCTAATAAATCCTTTTCGGCAAAGCACTCTCGTTGGAAGTCGCCCAATGGGATAGTATTCATAACATTGATATCTGACCGTCTTGTTATGCTGATGCTTTGAAGAAATCGTAGCCGTCTTCACGGTTGTTGTTATGGTGGAGCATTCAGACGCATGTCAGATTGTGTGTAAAATGCCGAGGCAAAACGGACAGATTTTGGTGGAGACTTCAGCCTTCTCCAGCGCGTCTGAACATCGTCATTTCAGGTAAACAACCTACCCTACACCGCTGCGCCTTTGCCTTGCCTGGTGTTATGCTTCGACATCTGGGATGATCAATCACCGCAGATAAGCTGTTGCAATTATAACTCGTATGCGGATTCCGTCTTCCTCATGATTGAGGGCGATAACGACTTGTTGTGTGCCGCGCGGCAATCCAGATATTGAGACTTCGGTAGATGGATGTCCGTACGTTGGTGCTTTGTTGATCCTTCCACACGGTGGAGCCTCGACGCGTCAACTGGTATTACGGCAGGGGGAGACATCCGGGCGCACCAGGAAGTCAGCGTGTAGCGAAGGAAGAGATCAGCACCAACAACTGTGTGAATTGTTGTTAGGAATGCACTGTCGATACACTGACACGAACCATGAAACGTCGGATAACAAGATGCTTGTAAATTCTGAAAGCCGCTTGCGAGATCTGGGAAAGACCTCCGGGAAACCGATTGCATTTTTATTAATAGTGTCGCTATCTGGGGTCTGATTCCTCTAGTGTGCGAGGAATTGGGGAATCCAGTGAGGATCCAGCCTCCACAGTGCCCCAGAGCAATCCCTGAACAGGGGCATGTCACGTCACCCAGTGTTGGTGTTGGTTGCCAACAGCCTGTTGCCAACAGGCGAGCAGTCTCATTTGCCATGGTCCGATATCTCACCGTGACCGCGAAGGAACGGGCTAGCTGGCCAACAGCAGCAGGGAATGGAGTACGTAGCAGATCTCCGACCCTACGCATCTCTAACTGCCAGTGGGACCACATCCTAGACGCCTACTGCACGTCTCTCCAAGCAAGGGTTTGCAAGCTCAGCGACGGTGCCGGGGTAGCAGCCTTGAAGAAAGTATATCAAGGCGGCCCTCCGTCCATCTTCTCTGCTCAGAATTATTCTCAACAACATCGTTCAGCCTCTTCTTCTTTCCTCTTTTCCTTTCTTCTCATTTCGCTTCTTTACCCCTTTGAGCTGGTCTCATAGGATTTGTTTTCCCATCAACCTTTTACCAACCTTGCTTTTTCGTGTATTCATTTGGTTGGTTTCAATCCGCAATCATGGTTGCTATTAAGAATCTCACGGCCATCCTTTTGGGTGTTGCCAGTGTGGCAGTCGCTCTGCCCGTTTCTAGCCTGGTCGAGACTCGTGACATCGCCACCAACGACCAAGATCTCCTGGACATCCGCGCCCCTCCCCACCCCGGTCATCTTCAGCGATCCAGGCCTCTGCTGGGACATGGCCGCCGTGATGAGGAGCTGCTTGAGGAGCGCGCTCCTCCCGCACCTGGCCACCTCCAGCGATCCAGGCCTCTGGGACATCACCGCCGCGAAGAACTCGAGGAGCGTGCTCCTCCCGCACCGGGCCATCTTCAACGATCCAAGCCTTTGGGACACCACCGTCGTGAAGAACTTGAGGAGCGTGCTCCCCCTCACCCCGGTCACCTCTCGCGTGCTAGGCCTCTCAGCCACTACACTCGTGATGAACTCGAGATGCGTGCTCCTCCCCGTCCTGGTCACCTCTCGCGTGCTAGGCCCTTAAGCCACCACACTCGTGATGAGCTCGAGATGCGTGCTCCTCCTCGCCCTGGCCACCTCTCGCGTGCTAGGCCTCTGAGCCACCACACTCGCTCTGTCCCTCATCCCGGCCGTCTCCAGCGCTCCAAGCCTCTCAGCCACCACACCCGTGATGAGGAGACTCTTGACGTCCGCGCTCCTCCCCGCCCTGGCCACCTCTCGCGTGCCAGGCCTTTGAGCCACCACACCCGTGACGAGCTCGAGATGCGTGCTCCTCCCCACCCCGGCCACCTTCAGCGTGCTAGGCCTCTGGGACATGGCCGCCGTGATGTGGAGTTGCTCGAGGAGCGCGCTCCTCCTCACCCCGGCCACCTCCAGCGTGCTAGGCCCTTGAGCCACTACACTCGTGATGAAGAGTCCAGCGAGGACTTCTTCTAAGCGCCTCTTGATGGAGATATGCTGTCTTTGAGGCATGGCATGATGTCACTGAAGACGAGGCGGAACGAGAGCGATGTTCATTTTTCTCCCCAAGTGAGAAACTATTTTAGCTTTATGATTATTTTTTTTGATGGGTTAACAATTTAATATCACGATGCAATGGCTTGGCTGTTGCATTCGAATTTCTTCTCAACATTGCTGCTTCAAACCGTAACTTTTGTGTGGGATCTTTGCTTGTTCTTTGACTGCCATAATTCTACGTGTGTGTTCTCTGGATAGTCTTGGCAATGGGCCTTGAGTTTCCATCAGTTACCATGCGTCATCTACTTGCTTCATGGTCTTCAGCCAGGATTGTTTCATGTGCATAGCGTTTGACATTCTCAACAGAGCTAGCTCAGCATTCACGCCGTTGTTAGATAACTTTGATACTAATTTTGGAATTAAGAAACACAGTGCAATCCCTGTATCTTCAAGTACCTATGTATAAACCGGTAGCACTATGGCTTTTGACCCGTATTGCATGGTTGAAATTGGTTTTCATTACCTGAGTTTGGCTGGTTCCAGAGGTATCTCGGCCATGACTCAACCCCCGGATTCACAAACTGGTACTCGTACCATTTTTTCTGTATATTGTTTCTCATTTCATCGTGGCTAACTGAAATTCATAATCTTTGCTCGATCTATGAGACAGTCGTTTGACTCATGTCACCGGGAAGATGAACATAGTTTGCCATGAACTATTTCGAATATTTCGGTTGACCGCCCTCAGGCCTCATCTATTGAATGGTGATCTTCTGACCAACATCTAAGAACTCGCTAAAAGTGCACCCACGTTGGGGTTCTTTCAAGCGGAGGCATCTCGAGGTTTACCAAGCGAACTTAGAAGCTGCTCAGGGAATTCGATCATCTCGAAATGATACTTTGGTAAACGTAAGACTTGTCTGAGGTCTCGAAATATCTTTAGAAGGTCTCATATCAGACATTTTCAGAGGTCCAGCATCGCTTGAATGGTTGTTGCCTAGTCCAACCCCTTGCTTCCAATAAGCTGACGACTTGGAGGTGTTCGGTATAGCATAATCTTGAAGCATTCTCAGCTGTTAGCGAGGAACACTTAATTCTTTTCCTGGTTAATTCTTGGATGTATAGATATCTTAACTTCAAGCCCGCAGACTATCCCATATTTAGCAAGCTTCTGAGTGTTCCTGAAATATTCGTGATTCCAATGCTGTCAGCCCTCTGAATTTAACTTTAAGCGACTGATACACCGGAGCTTTTTGATGACCCAGTCAAAAGTCTTATGTTTGTCCATAGGACGGCACGCATCGCTGGCGCATTGATCAACATGGATCCTGGATCATCGTGCAAGCCCGCTGTTTCAGACAGGGAACTTGAACACGCTCATTCGCCAAGACCTTGTGCTGTATTTTAAATGCTAAAGGCCCGCCAACTTTGTGAACTGCACTTCTCGCCCATATTCCGCACCTCTAGGAGGAACAAAAAAAAAGGGCTGCTGCGGCCGATCACGATGGTTCGCTACACATTTGCCGCCGCAATCGGCCTATTGGCCTGCACGGGCGCGCACTCGCAGCAAACAACCACCAAGTCAATCGCGAGCGTATACCTCCCCAATGCTGACCAGTTCGCTTACGGAGTCATGGGGTCAATCGTCTCTGCCGACGCGAACAAGACGGCTCTGCAGCTCGCGTGCCCGCCCGGGACCACGCTCTGCGGCCAGTATATGTACGGCAGCACCGTCACTTACGGGCCAACGACCTTCATTTACGACGACCCGCTCCGTACATTTACTCAGCCGGATGTGAAGTCGGTGGTTCAATGGTAAGCCTGGTTTCCCAGCTCCCTGTATCGGCACATACCTAATTGAGATGCTGGGCTAGGGCGAGCCATCGAGAGTGCTCCCTTGATGACGATGGCGACGTTGCCGTATGCACAGACGTCGTGCTCTTGAACCGGCCAACGACCGAATCGACACGTACCACGACAACAGTCACAGAGAGCGGTCTTAGTTTGCGGCGCACTGGCGTGACCGTCACGGCGGGTTTCGAAAATTTGAAACCATCCCCAGGTTCCTCCCGCGAGACTTCGGTCGCGCCATCTACGACACGGCAAAGCGACTCCAAGTCAACTTCTGGCTTGGCAACTGCGACTTCCGAGTCAACGCCCACGATGTCCGGATCGTCATCCGATGCTTCTGTATCAGCTGCCGCGACTTCGACATCGGCAGAGACAAATACGAATGGGGCGATGGGAAGATGGAGTAATGTGTCTTTTGGTGCCGCTATTGCGAGTGTGGTTGGGTGGTATTTAATTATTTAGAACGTTTTTCAGTTATGGACAAATTATGAAGAGTACGATTTGGTACGAATAAGGAACACTGAAGTTCTTTCAAACGGCAGCTGATCATTTGCTAAATTAACTACGCCACCGAAATTCGAAGAAAACGCTGTCATTTTGTTACTGCCTAAAGTTGCCACAGCCTGCGCCGAGCCAAGGAACAGCTGGACACGTGAAATGGAGGTGGCTATGCTGCCTAATGTAGCCTTGGTTTGTACCATTTATCTCTTGTGCCTACTCTTTGTTCTAGAGTGATGCGGGGGATTGTCATTCCTCTAGTAAAGATAACTCAAAGACTGCTCTCCAAATACAGCCAATTTGATTGTGAGATCATGCTCTAACATGGCCCTGCCGCCTTATACTTAATCTGTGAATTTTCCAGGCAACAAGGTGATGGTGGATCTATGAACTCTTGAAGGCGAATTTCCCTTGCGGGTGTCTTGGCGACGTTTGTCATTTCAGCCCATTTCCTGCTGCGCCTCCAGTACCGACAAGGGCCTATCGCAGCCCTACAATGTTCAGGGGCCTGCAGGCTGGCTGCCTAGCTCTAAATTTGGCTCACTCTCTCCAGGCCCTCTACTGGGCTTCTCTAGGTCAAGATGGACGAGCAGCGGAGGCCTGGAAACGCCCTTGATGGCAACCACCATCTTTAACGGCTCACGCCTTTGAATATTCTGAGTTTTCTCCGATCGCCGCCTCCTCACTAGTCGGTAAGCACTGGGAAACTAGAGCGTTAAGAATAGAATCCCTCTAAGATTTGGTGGTGTATGGGTGGAAACGCCAAGGACCACGACTGGCTTGGCGAGGCGTTTGGACAAGGGTGAGGCGGGCTATATGTAACGCCGCCAGCCCAGATTAATTTAAGGCCCGGGCGGTTGACGCTGTTCCCCAGATATTGATTTCTTTTGCTTGGCTATCTGTTCAAGAAGATGTATCCAAAGGGGCTTGTCGTGGCCTCGCTGGCTGCGCTCCAGCTTTCTGGTGCCCGCGCCCAGAGCCAGGATGAGGTCAATCCTTGCCGGGCCATCGCGGATGAGCAGAGACAAAACCTCAGGAGCGCGAATGTAACGTACTCAACCGACATGAAGTACCTGGTAAACTTCAATGCGTCAAAGGCCTACGAGTGTATCACGTCCGTCCCGCTGGTCGCCGAGGAGGCCAGCACGATGATCGACGTTTTCAAGAATTACTTCTCCCTCCAGAGCTCGCTTGCATATCTCAAAGACCCTCCTAAATCGTATCAGCGGTTACCAGTGGATGTCATGGGGCGCTTCGATGCGATCAAGACCAAGCTCGGGTCGGGAGAGTACAAAAACCAGTACGAGTTCGACCTGGCTGTTCATAGCATCATTCGCGATGTCAACGACTACCACTTCTACGTATATTCCGGAGTTCTGGGACTATTCCACTGGACTTTGCCGAACTCACTTACCGCAATCTCGTCGGACGGCCAGAGCCTCCCCCAGCTCTTCGCCTGGTCCGACATCACAAACAACGTCCAGAATGCGTCGGCGGTCGTGGAGCTGGAGGGCCAGTCCGCCTTCACCTACCTCCGAGGCTACCTGGAGCGAACCTACTTCCTGGGCTTCAACGACCCAAACGCCGACTGGAACTCGCTGATGGAGAACCCGGCGGCCGATTTCAGCACCACCGGCAGGGGCAAGCAGACTCTGCACTACAGCGCATTCCAGACGACCCAGATCTACAACGGCGCGTCGCTCAAGGGCCGTTACGCTAACGGGACTGAGTTTGAGTGGCCATACACGGCCGGATCGACGAGGGACTTGACCAGATACAGATACAACAACGGCTCAGCTATCTACGGAACCGAAGTCAAGAACCGGAATTCGACTTATAGCAGCAATGTTGCCTCGAGGGCTAATTTAGAGAAGGAATACGAACTACACGTCGACTCTCGAGAACTGGAGGCGGCGGCAGATTGGGACCGGGTCGTCCTCGCTTCTAGAAGCGCCGTCAAATCCGTCCCTTACTTCGGCTATCCCGGCGACCCCGACCTGGTGCAGTCCGACTTTGGCGAGGGCGGCATGATCTCGGGGTACTTCCTCAGGGACGAGAAGATCGGCGTCCTGAGCGTGCCCAGCTTCCAGACGTCCAGCGAGGCCAGCCCCGCGACCTTCAGCTCGGCCGTCAGGAGGTTCATCCGGGAGGCCCAGGCCGCCGGCATGGAGAAGATCGTCATCGACGTCATGGGCAACCGGGGCGGCTCGCTCCTGCTCGCGTACGACATGTTCCGCCTCTTCTTCCCCAGCGCGCTGCCAAACACCCTGTTCCGCGCGCGCGCCTCGTCGGACCTGAAGACGCTGGGCAACATCGTGACGAACGTGATCAACAGCAGCACGTCTTTCGACTCGGTTGACGCTACTGACATCACGGTGCTGGGCGCCGCTGGCGAGTTGCACACCGGGGTGCTGTTGAAGCCCGACAACTCGAGCTGGGATTCTTACGATGAATACTTCGGACCGGTTCAGAGCCACGGGGATAATTTCACCAATAAAGCTCAGTATAACCTGGAGAGCAGGTCGATTGCGAGGTCGCTCGGCTTCTACGTCGCCGGCTACGGGAACAACGTCCCCACCTACAACGAGACCTGGAAGGCGGAGAACGTCATCCTCCTGAGCGACGGGCTC